CAACAAGATACAGGTAACCTGATAAGGAGCCACATACTAACATAAGCGGTTAAAACATGCTGGTTCCCAGAGTGCGGAACAGGATCAGTTACGCTGGACAATGAAGTATTCAAAGGTAATGAGGAGAAGCAGTGATCCAGGCCGTCTGAGAGCTACATCTTCATCCTTACAAACCCAAAGAGCTCAAGCACACTGACATGGGGAACTGAGGTCTGGCCAAGATGGATCACTCTTATTCCAGGAATCTGAAACCTTCCATTCAGGGAAAATTTATTACATGAAAATGAAATTAAGTGCATAAGTCCCTAACACTGGCCTGGACAAAAGCCTGTTTGTTTCCTCTTGATCCAGTATAGCTTTTGCATCAAACTATATTACAAGTATGTAGGATAAAAACTTTTCTTCTCCTTTTGAGGAATTGTTGGCTAATGAGAATAAGTCTGAGTTCAGGAAGGGAGGGAAAACTAACAGAGTAAAGTGGCTGGTAGTGAAAACCAGACTATTGGAGATTCAGTCTGAAATAACAGGAGCAGGACCGCAGCAGAGAAACCGAACCCAGGTGTGTCAGTTTTCAGGGGCACAGCTTCGCGGTGACAGAACGCAACAGAACAGAAAACGTTAAAAAAAAAAAAAAAAGAAAGGGGGAAAAGTCCAGTCTCACCCGGAGGCCTGAAAAGATCCAGCAGATGAGAGGTTAGGGAGCGACTGCAGTAAACAGAGAGGTGGAGGGAGACCACATCACAGGAAGCTGAACACAACCATGTGACAGGAAGTACTTAGAACCGAGGAGAAAAAAGCAACGATGTAGCAGTTTAATTACAGTAAATGGGCCACAAGACTGAGTAAATAGGTTTGAGGGTGAATAGACTGGGTGACAGGTATAGATGGAGCTGCTAATCAACCGGGTAAAAGAAAGTAAGAGTGAAAGACAGGGAACATGGGTGTAACAGACAGTGTTGTTATGCCTGTGTGTGTGTGTGAGTATGCGAGCGTTTCTGGGGCACAGGGGACAACGGGACACAATCAGCACTTGGCGAAGGTCTGCTTGATCTCCTGTAGCACGTTCTCCAGCAGCGATGGCTCGTCGCATTTGGCATCAATTGACACAGTCTGGTCAACCTGAGAGGAGAGACATGGTAACAGGAAATCAGGAGACCACAAAGGAAACAAAAAATGTAGAAGGATGTTTTACTGCTAAACACTATACCGAGTAAAGGGGAAGAAAGTGATACAATGTATATTTTAGTAAAGATAAAAAAAAAAACCATCACCAGCTTAAGTTACAAAGCCTGAAGTGAAATGGCTTCTTGGAGATTTTCTATACACTCACAGTTTTGACGAGCAGACAGACATGGTGACCCTGGATTGACCTGCTGTACATAGAAGCACAGGAATCGATTCTCTCCACAACTGGGGGGGAGGGAGAGAGAAATGGATCAGCTAATGTCATTGCCCGCATGCGTCAGAAGATCTTCAAATCCCATATTCAAGGTCTCTCAAAAATCTTCATGCTTAATATCCATAGTGATTTATCATCCTTACCTCATTTCCCAGTTCTCATGTTTTATTTAAACGGCAGAGGACCGTTTCTGACATCAGTCCCCCCCTCCCCCCCAAGGAAGCGTACCAGAGAAGTGGTGGTGAAAGCAGATCCTGGCGAGGAGGTGGTGGAAAGGCATGCTGACGCCCTCCAGCCGCACGGAACTCGCCTTCAGGTCCCCGGATTCCAGCAGCTTGGCGAAGGCGTCACTGGCAAAATGGCAGCACGTTACTGGGCCTGGTTTTCCGACCACGACCGGGGCAGAGACACCGCAGACCGAGCGGGAGGCCAAGCGGAGAAGCACACGAGGAGCACGCAGAGAGATCCACGGGCGTCGTGGGCATTACGCCGATTCGCCACAATGCGTCACTATAGCTTCAGCGACTGCGCATTCCTTCCTATGTTTTCTACAACGCAAAGTCACACGGTGATAATGAAAGCGTGCTCAGGCAGAGAACGTTAAGTGCAATGTGAGGATAGACCAGCGGGGGAGTGGGGGGGCAATCGTGCTCCGGCACGGTACAAGGCAAGTCCTCCCCTAGGAGTGCCAGCTGAGGACACGCCCACGTACCTGTAACACGGAGTGGTGATCATGTAGGAGGTGCAGGTAAAGTGCAGTTTGAAATCCAGTTTCTCATGAGTGGAGGAATCCTCAGACTGTGCAAGAGGAAGGAAAAACACACACACACACACACACACACACACACACACACACACACACACAGTTAGGTGCATCCTAAACGTTCACTTCCCATTCACTTCCCATTCACTTCCCATTCACTTCCCAGTTTATGTTAAACATGGCTAAGGGGTGTGTCTGTCATGCAGCAGGACGAAGGACACTCGACCCCAACCTTGACGATGAAGGCGAGGGTCCCCTTCAGCTTCTGCGGCATGACGATGCTCTGCACGGAGAAGACGAAGCGCGCCTCGTTCGAGACTCCTGCCAGAACGAGAAGAGGTCAGGTTAGTCAACGGCGCTGCAAAGTCAAGTAGGAGGAGGCAGAGTGGGGTGGGGTTAAAGGGCAAAGAACTAAGCATAATATAAGGAGATTAAGAGAGTTCCAAGTTCATTTAACACAAGAACATTATAGTTGCTTCTTTACTCACCAGGGGGCAGCTGGAATGGGATGGTGACAGCCTCGTGGGGGCTGGCACCTTCGGGGCGCTGCAGCTTGGAATTGAGGGAGTCCAGCACATTGAACTCCATGCACTTCAGGAAGCTGCTGCTGCTGCTTTTATTCTCGAATATTACGGACACCACCACTTGGCTGCCATCCTGCAAGTTGCCCTGGATGTCGTACGACTGAACAAGGAATGAAGAGGTCTCAGGTACGGCCAGTGGCCGGACGGGGGCACCTCGGGTACGGCCAATGACACTCATGCAAAAAGTCCACCACATCAATATGCAGCGTAATTACTGAACCAGGCCTGGGAAAAAATGTTGCGCTATGCAGCTTATTCAGTAAAACCTTAGCATGTCTTAAAGGAAAAAAAAATGAAAATCTCACCTCTGGACGCATCAACAGTGATTTTAAATGCATATGTAGCTATTACAAAGCTGCAGTCAAGCAGGAGTGAATGGGACAAACCGACCCAGTCCTTCCCACTTAAAAGGTATGCATTCCACTGAGGTCTCGTTACAGAACCGAGCCGGTCGTCTCGCTCCAGGTGAAGAACACCTCACAGCAAATCTCAAAAGCGTCACCCAAAAACTCAGCAAATCACCCTATTGGTTAAACCCATACCTGCATCTACATCCTCCATTATCTTTAAATTAATAAAGAAAGAATATAAAAATAATTAGTCTTTACGTTGAAACGCACACAGTGAGAATCACATGCAAACACTTGCAGGAACCCAGAAGTAAAAGACAGCAGTAGTTGCTTACAGTTACTTATCGGTGTTTCTCCATCCGGGCCTCAGGGACCCCAGACAGTCCACGTTTTTGCTCCCTCCCAGCTCCCGATAAGCAGCAAAAACATGGACCGGATTGGGGTTCCTGAGGATCAGGTTCGGGAAACAATTGTGCGATAGATGATCAAATGCTAGAGAAAAGGCTTACTCACCATTTTGATGTAAGGGTTCTCAGCAAGGAGGCAGTAGTTGGACATTGGCTGAAGAGATTAAGGGAACGGGAAAAAAAACACATTCATACCCTGGTGTAGGTAACCTGAGGCACAATATATCTAAGCAAAACACCTTTTCGTGCCATGAAAAAAATGACAAAATACACGTCTGATACAGCGTTAAGGAGAAGCTGGGCTGTGTGACTGTAGGGCTGGGCGATATCGCTTAAATATCATATTGTGATCATCAACATTTTTTTCCTGTGCTTATTGTTATGCAAATTGTAATTCTTATTGTGTAAATGTCTGTAAAGCACTTTGCAAACCCTAGGATTAAACATAAAAATTGAATGACTGATTATCAGGGAAGAAAAAAAAAACACCTGCGATATTTTATTTTTTTCTACATATGCGTGATAAATACTGATATTGTGAAAATATTGGAAAACACTGTGATCATTTTCAGGGCACATCGCCACACCCTACATAAGTGTGATTTGGCGAACAGCGCCCCATGGAGACATGCGATGGATACTGACTGGAAGAGGCTCCTCTTCCTCTTCCTCCTCGCCGTTCCGCACAGACTCTGCTCTTCCCCCGTCGCTATGGTGACGATGGTGCCGCTTCTTCTTTTTCTTATCCCTGTCCTCCTTCTCCTTTTTCTGTTTTTTCTTCTTGTGTTTGGAGGATTTCTGAAGTCAGATCAGAACGGTTTAGGTTGACCAGAGATCGACTGTGTGCATGTGATCGCAGTAGTCACAGGAAGGGGGCGCCACTGTGCAAATGCACGTGTCGAGATGGAATTCACCCCTCGTGTTTCTCCCCTACCACAAGAGCACCATTATGACACGAATTCACGAATCAGGCTGTAATATGTTCACAAGGCGTACTAAGAAGCTCTCCTGAAGAGAGCCGGCACTTGGCTCAGACCCATTACTCAGAATCCTCTCCTTCAACAGGGAGAAGCGGACAGCTAAGACGTCATCATCGTTTAGGCATCGGCGGTGACTCACAGGCTCCTCAAGCTCAGCGTCTTTGGGCTCGTCCGGCTCAGAAACCGGGGCGGCATCAGGGACGACTTCCGGAACTGGAACCGCTGCCTCCTGTGGAGGTAAAAACTGCCCTTTAAAGGCAGCCAGACTGCAGTGCCTCACACACGTAGACACAGCGGGACAGGCATCGCTAATTCAGCTCATGGGAAGTGGGCCAGTATTCACACATGACCTACGGGGGCTACGAGCAGATGAGGCCTTTAACTCTTGCTGAAGGTCAAATATAATAGCCCTCTGTGAAATGAATAGGGGTCACAAATGCAAGTCAAACATCACTTTAAGCAGACAGCTGTGTTTTGAGGTGGCTGCTGCTCATTAAGGCAACAGCAGTAGCGATGAAGTCAGTGTTTCCCAATCCGGTCCTCGGGGACCTGCAGACAGTCCACATTTTTGCTCCCTCCCAATAGGGAACTGAGAGGAAGCAAAAAAAATAAAATAAAAAATGGACCATCTGTGGGCCCCAAGGACCAAAGGGTTGGGAAACACTGCTTTAAGAAATGGGGGACGAGAGCCACTCTTAGGGGAGGATTTTAATCACAGATAACAGATTATTATACAAAGTTGCATTTCCACAAATGTCTTAAAATGGGCTCTGATATTCCTGAAGGCAGATGCTCCAAATGAGTTTCTTAAACGTTAGATGGGCTCAGCTGGAAAGGCGCTCCCTCAGAGAGCAGAACAGAAGCAGCCTGAGATGACAGAGGAGAGAGAGTGAGGGAGGGTAATGAAATAAGAGGCACAAGACAGTCAGGCCCCAGCTGAGGAGAGTCAGTCTGCCTCCCAGTGGCTCTCAGCCGGTCTGACAAAGGCGGCGGGATAAGCTGGAAAATGGGATCTACCCCGAGGACCGCGAGGCGTAAGGAAAAGACCCACACAGACGAGACTAACGAATCAGACAGAAGTGACAAAAACATGTTCCAAATTGACACAAACACACAGTAGACAAGAGCTAGCATTGGCAGAATGAAAACTACAGAATCTCGGGTACGTATGACAGCTAGAAAGTACAGAAGAGAGACTTCCACAGACATGGGGGCAAGGAGGGGGTGAGGAGGGGGCGAGGAGACATGAGGGCCAAAAAATAAAAACGAGAGAAACTCAACCTTTTTATTAGAGGGCACTGGAGCACTAGAGAGCCAAAAATCCAGATCAGATACCTAGAATTAGAAGGGGTGGGAGGGGTTAGGGCAGACATACTGAAATGAAGCCGTAATAGTCACTCAGGAAGCATTCCTGACAGCTCCCTGCTCTTATTTCAGAAACTAACCCAAAACAAAACAAACATGTCCTGTATGTGTAGGTGTATGTGGAGCTCCCCCTACTGGTCATCGTTTGTGCAACGCTGGCTAGGTCCCGTGGTACCTGTCTCTAGCGGTTACGGTGCTGTACCTCCGCCGTTGTCACCGCAGGTGGAGTCGTCGCCTCTGCAGCCGCCGCCATAGCCGCGGGCTCTTCCGCCGACCCCGCCTCGGGCTCCTCTCCCCTTTCCTGCCCGTGTTTGTTCTTCTTCTTCTCCTCTTTGCTTTTCTGCAGGGCAGAGACCGGTGGGACGTTACTGGACGTCGCTGGAGAGGATGGCTGAGGACAGACCGAGCGCTACAGAGCCCGACTGTTACAGAAGTGCACAACAACAGTGAAAGACTTTCCGGGAAAAGCGGGAGATTGTTAAACCAATAACAAACCCAGAATGATCCCGAAACAGGCAAAACAAAAGCACACACTCGCCTTCCGCTCTTTGCTCTTCCTCTTTTCCTTCTCTTTCTTGTCCTTCTTGCTCTTCTTCTTCGGCTCCTGAGCGACGCCCTCCCCCTCGCCCCCCTCCACCGGACTTTTGAGGGCGTCCGGGGGCCGGTGTGCCCTCACGGGCAGCTTCTCGTTGTCCACCAGCGGCCTGTGGGACACAGACGACCGGTGACGCCGAAAAGCAGCGGCGAAAGATCTGAAGCCCAAAGAGTGACGGGCACGAGTGTGTAAGCAGCAGGAGGGACAGCAGGGAGCAGAAGGCCAAGCAGCCACGTCCCGCCTGCACACTGCCAGCCCAGGTCTGTGTTTGAGCCGCATTGTCATAAGCAGCATGATGTAATGCAGCATAACCCAGGCAGGGTCGGTCAGAGTCGGCCTCAGAGAATTTACTGCCTATTTTTAAGTGTTTGGAACTGCGCCACTTAAAATCAATACTGTAGATTCTGACTCATTCAGCTTAAATACGACATTAATCATTCAAACAAGCAGCGGAATTCACTGAAACGACCCAGAACACCGGCCATACCCAGCATGCACTGCTTCGTTCCTCTCTTCGATTTCACGTTACATGCTCAAGCCAGGCAAAGCTTCAGCTAATTCTGGGCTCCACGGATGCACCGGCTAATCTAGCATTAAGGCTCACTTCTCAGAACCTGCCTCTCTGACAAGGTCGTCCCATTGGTTTAAACGGGTCTGAAGCAGCACACTGGCCCGATACCCATGGTGGGCCAGCTTACCTGCGTGTGGCTCCCATCACCAGACTGGGAGAGCGGCAGAGGGGTGTGTGCGTGTGACAGAGGGGGAGAGAATCACAGGACACGGTATCACGACAGAGTGCGTCGTATGAAAGTTCGTGGAAGGACGTGCTTACTAACTAGGAACCATAGCTGCTGGGGGACACACTTCCCCAGTTTCGTACTGGGTGGGGGGTACATATGTACGTTCATCAGCCCAGTCATTTCCTATTTTTGTTCATCCTTAAATTTGAATTTCATTTACACTGTTTACTGTGTTGAATCTTATGTATAAATAAATATACCCTAAAGCGTTTAGAAGAGAGTAACGGCGCTATATGTGTTTAGAACACAAAATATGTAGAGAGAGAAATAATGACCATAATGGCCGAAAGAAAGATGGTACTAACTTATCGAGGTCTATGTCGAGAGCTTTGTGGGGGTCGCTGGGGTCCTTGTCATCTTCATCACTGGGCAAAGCATTCTGGGACAGAAAGAGAAAACCACACGTCTTCTCCTGATACCCAAACCTGTGGATCTTTCAGCTTCGTTTCATATAGTTTCTTTTAAAGTAGGATTATCTGGATTGTGACGTTTTGGTGTTTTTAATCTGTAATTGGGCGACGGCTCCATTTAGCATCCCAAACGTGTTAGCTGACCGCTAGCTGACGGCCGCCTGCCTGCCTCACCCCCGCTACCCCCCCCACCTCCCCGCACCTCCGGCATCTCCTCGGTGACGATGTCCACCGTATGTGCCGGCGTGATGTCCTCCTCGCTCTCGCCGCCCGACTCTGCCCGGTGACCCCGCCCACATTTATCCTTCCTCCTCTTCTTTTCCTTTTTCTTCTTCCTCTCTGCCTTCTCCCTCTGCCGTCGCTCCTCCTCCAGCTTCACATACTGGTCAGACATGGGCATCCCTAAGAAAGCACACCGGGAGGGGGGTCAGGGGCGGGGGAGGGGGGAGGGGGGGTTGTATCAGGGAACAATGTCAGTAAAAAAAAATAAAAAATCAATTAACTCCATTTCTGGGCCACATGGAAACAGCAGAGCGAGACACCCGGTGTGACCCAGCAAAATGGGCCGGATGAAACCCAAGGGGGCAGCTAGAGAAACGGCTCCTTCACTTCGGATCGACGAGATTCACATCGGTGGACGGTGAATTGAAATTCTTTCCCTGGGGTCACGGGGTTATCAGCAAAAGTGAAAATGCGCTATATGAAATCGCACGAGACCGAGGGAGTACACAGCATATGGTGCATTACACGGTAATAGAAATATGCACAACAGCATATTCCGCAGTGTATAGTACAATAGTGCAATAAATAAAACGGTACAAAAGCACTAAGCAGTAAGAGGGCACGGTGCAAGTGTCAAAATCGGTCACTGCCTTCAATTACTTCACATCTCTCACACGTAATTACAAAGGAACGACCAAATGGCACTAACATGACAGACAGGAGGAGGAGGAGGAGGAGGCTGAACTGAGCAGAGAGCAGCGTAAGTGCGGGGAGAGGAGAGGCAGGGAAAGTCTGCTTTATCAATCCCCGAGGAAGGTTATGCGCCTAGATCGGACGACTTGACTATCCACACACTGAAACATGCTCCCAGACCCACCTGGGACTTTGAGAGGCACGCTGAGGTCGATCTGCACCACGGGAATGTGTTCCACACCTGGGGTTTCTGCGTACACCTGCAGGACCGACGGAGACAAGCAGGAGAAGAAAAAGCCCAAAGTCACGGCAGTCATTTCATCAGCACCCACAGCACGGAATCGCAGCGCAAAACAAATGCCTGGAAATCGGTCCGAACGTCGAAACATCACTAGAAAGAGTGTTAGCAATAGCTGAATGGCAAAGGCGCATTTCACAAGTACCGATTTTCATCAAAACAGCCTGTAAAATGGCTACACTTATATTAACTGCACACAGACGGGCAGATGGAGCAGAGGGGCACCTGCTTTATAAATACTGCCCGTCCTTCAGCAGTTCTGTGGGCATCTGGACGACCAGCACAGAATGAGATCTGCTGGCAGCCTTCACCTTTCCGGCACAGGGGTGGGACGGCGCCACACGGCGGCCACACGGCGGCTCACCTTCTGGGAGGACGGCGAGGCCTTGATGTAGAACGGGTTGTTCGCCTGCTCCTGTTTCCTGGCTTCTCTCCGCTACATAGAAGCATTTGACAGCGATTAGTGGCGCGTACAGGTTCGGGAAGCTCGCCTGGGGGACACCGCCGTGATTGACATGTGTAGCATAAGCAGGTACACAGATGAATTTGATCACCATTGCAATAGGACTGATGACTGGACAGGGCTACGATAGGGTGACCACCCAATCCATGTCCATAGGGACAGAATGAGCTACTTCAGCTTTTATAAACTACTTTAAACCTGAAAGGCTCCTGCGCTTGGCTAAATATTTCAACTCTTCTTGTGCTTTTACCGGTTTGTTTCCTTGATTGAAAAACTCATCCAGCTGTTTCACATTAACACCAGTGACACATGCATGATTACAGGAGGCTGACCAATCAGCACACAGCAAGAACTCCAGGTGAAATCCAGGTCTTTTTTAACTGAAATGGTAGTTTGCAAACCCTGTCCTAGCTTACAGTGTCCCCCCTGAACTGGATTAGATGGTCACCCTAGGCTACAAGTTTATCAACGTCACTGTACACGATCGCAGCACAGATTTCAGTGAGAGAGAGGGGTGGCAAGTCCGAATGAGACTTACACCTGTGCATTTTTGACTGGGGTGGATCATCATACCATTTTACCGAATCTTAGAATTCAGCTGATTCATTAAACGTGTTCTGGGCAAACAGCTCCCCAGCTTTTGCAGGTAAATGAAGATCCTCACAGCAAAATGGCAAACTACATATACAGTAAACACATTACAGATGTAAATCGGGAACAGTGACCACAGGGAGATGTTCTCTTATTTTTCATATGAGCAGTTAGCATGGGACGCTGCTGCGCTGAGCTCCGTACCCTGGCCAGCTCCTTCTCGTCCACCTCGGGGTGTCGGGGGCGGGTGGGCCGTTGCTCTTCCTGGGCGAAGACGGCCTTGGGCTTCTCGTCCTCGGACTCGCTCTCCGACGGCGGCTCGTTGATCCACGCGTCGAGGTCCAGGCTGGAGACGACATGGCGGTTTAGTGCCGAACCAGGCCGGACCGCGCTTGGCATTAGGGAACACGCCGGAAGGGGAGTGGGGGCCAGCGGCGGGTACTGACCCCTCGGGGACCGGCACTTTCTTCTGTGCCTTGGGGGCCACAGGGTTCAGTTCCCCGGCAAACAGGGCCGTGACCTCCTCAGCAACCTGCACCTCCTTCTGCTGCAGCTTCTGAACATATTTCACCAGCTGCAAGATGCAGGAGGCCTGGGGACGAAGGGGGGCGGTAAGAATGGAGCAAGTGTGTGGATTGGTCAGCAGGGCCCACGCCCCCAAAAGGTGATTGGTGTGGACCTGACGCTCACCCTCTCCTGCACTTCCAGGTTGGCGCTCTGGACAAAGAGTGGCAGCCTGTCAATGAGCAGCTGGCTGGTCTCCTGTGCCACCTGCCTGTCAGGGACGCCCTCCTGGCCACGTAGGACGGTGGCAAACAGCTTGGCTACATTCTGCACGTAGACTGCCTGGATGTGGCCGGGCAGGGTGGCCACTTTGGGCCGCAGCATCGCCTCCAGGGTCTGCAGCGGGTCCTTCAGGTGCCTGTGGGGGGGGGGTCACACTCCCACCATCACCCACGTCCGTGTTCCCAGCATGACCTCTAGTAGCCCCATCATTCTGACGGTCTACCGCAGGGGATCTCTAATTCCGCAAGAATCAGGACCCAGGTGATAATCCACCATTATCAATCAAAATGGTTAATGTCAAAAGGCTGGTTTGAAGGACAAAAATATGACGCAGAACCACCAAATTTTGAACACATGTAACTCGTCATAATGCCCCCAGAGAGTCGTAAAGATCAGCCTTTAATAAAGTTCCCAATATAATGTATTGATGTCCTTATCAAAAATTATTGTTAGTTCATTAACGTTCATGAAATGTTGTTTTGTTCCAGACCACTGATCAAAAATGTGATGCGGACCTTTGGCCACAAAAAAATGAGAGAACCCCAGTTCTTACACTGCATTATTCCTCCTGCGCTGTAGAACATTCTAAAATGCCGCCATGCTGGGTTAATTACAGCCAAACCAGCAAGGAGACGCTGAGAACAGCTGCCCATGTTTCAGCCCCCACCAGGCTTCAAGGCTCCTCTTCTCGTTCTACATCAGGCCCCACATAAGGCTCACCGGTGTCCTCTCACACATTACAATGCTCTACATCACCGCGAACCACAGTACAGGCTACACTGGGTAAATGTAACCCTTCACCTCATTCAAAGCCTGGGCTCAATTTTCACTCTCTGTTAGCCATTACATCCAAACCAAACCACTCAACTCTAGTTGTGCCTCATTATGGCCAATCAAAGGCTACCCCCCCCCCCCTCCGATTTCAATGTCTTACTCATTGCATTTAACCCACGAAAACACCTGCTTATTTTATTTGTTTGAACTCATGAATGCTTCCGTAAAATCTCAGCCACATGCTCTGTCATCGCCTGCTCTATCAATCATGCTAAATCCCACCTCATGTAGTTCAGCAGTAACTAAGGAAGCATTGAGTACCTCAGGGCCACCGATCATCGCTAAAGCGAATGAGGCGTTGAGGTTCTCTGCAGCTGCGTGACGCGGAACGTGACCGGCGGCGGCGGTACGTACTCGGAGAACTCGCCGCAGATCCACGCCGCGGCGTACAGCACCTCGCAGATGCCGTTGCGCTGCGTGTTGCCGGTGAGCATGTGGGCGTTGTCCAGCAGCATGGCCATCTGGGCCACGGCGAAGCCCCGGATGGCCTTCACCCGGATGGCCACGTCCAGCATCTGCGAGGCGATGAGGTGCCCGTGGCGGGTGCCCTCCAGCCGGGTCAGCTCCACCAGGATGCTGATGTACCTGGGGGGGGGGACAACGACAGAGCACTGTCACTCAGGCCAGATTCGAAGTGCAACTCCACCTTCACCAATAAAACACTGGGGATTCCCAAAGTGGGGGCCGCAACAACCGGAGGGGTCATGTGACACGGGGTGGGGGGTGTGAATGGGCACACAGGAAACGCTAATGCACCTGTCTCTCCCCCCCATTTGTCTACAGAGAAGGATTTGGGAATAGAACACAAATGTTTACAAATGTGTTTAGAGTTTTACTCTGGAAATGAATCTGTGCACATACTGCTTTAGTGTTCCAAAGGTCACAATGCAGATTTAAAAAGATGTTTGTTTTACACTCAGCTATTTGTTCTGTGACTTCACAGTGCCTGGTACACAGACTGGCTCCCTAAAAACAAATATAGGTAGGAAGCGGTGACATTAGGTGTTTAGCCCTGTGTTTTTGCTGATGGCAAAGCTGTTTCAGAATGAAATACCAAGGCTCTACATACACACCAAGCGACCTGGAGCTCGTACGGAGCTCCATAAAGGGCTCCTGGAGACCACCACAGCCACCAGACCAGGCATCGAACGTCTACATATCTCATCTGATTCCCTGAGCCAAACCTGCCACACTGGGTACCAGTTTGTACTGACCACTCAAAGTTGGTGATGTACTGGTAGTTGCTCTGGCTGCAGATGTCGATGATCTTGGTGAGCAGCTCATCGCGGTAAGTGGTCCCCTCCGCCTTGTCCATGTGCAGCATCAGCTTCTTCACGATCTCCATCAGGTTCTTCTTGGAAACCTTCACACACACGCAGACGTTCACGCCGCTACAGGCCCCTCCTTCACCTTCGGTTCATACTATGGATGAACAAGTAGCTGGCTGGCTCACTTACACTGATTTTAATGTTTTTTGGCTCCATTCTAAGATGTGACAGCATTACAATAAATGGCACACACTGGATTTTTGTGGGATTAATAAATGCTAAATGCATTTATATATATATATATATATATATATATACACATACATACTTCAAAAACTCTACTGCCTGATATAGTGCCTCTTGTAACACTAGGATTCAGAGGCGGCATCGTTAGTAAGAAAAATCATCACTGATTATCAGCTCCTGAAAATCACTTAACCTTGATTTAGAGCCGTTTCCCTCCCCAATCCGATCCTCGGGACCCACAGACAGTCCACGTTTTTCCTCCCAAAGGGATCAGACGGTTTAACTAAACTGCCAAAAAATAAACATAAAAAAAAAAAGCACAACGCTACCATGCCGTAAAGAAGATCGAGGGCCCGAAGTCGGATGGACTCGTCTTTGTCGTCCAGACACTGCAGGATGAGGTCCTTGTGGGACTGCACCGACTTGGGGTGGGTCTTCAATATCTTTGACATGGCCAGTAGACCCAGGTACTTCACTAAAACACATGCAAGACACTCACTGGGCAAGGTTCCGGAAACAGGGCTCGACACAAAGACCACCCTAGTCACCGCTGACAGAACACTGGGTACATATGGACTCCTCTGCACATAAGCTGTCATTACAAACACTGAAGGCATAGAACAAGCGATATTGGTCATAAAGACAATATCATAGAGCAAATGCTTCCCTACATGTTCTATGTGACAAGTCCAAAATACTGTGTGAAACGGGAGCACAGTTACCACAAACAGCGCTCTACACACAAACAGCGCTCTACACACAAACAGCGCTCTACACACAAACAGCGCTCTACACACAAACAGCGCTCTACACACAAACAGCGCTCTACACACAGCTTGTAGTTCGGTCTCCAAGCTGACGTTTATTATTAGACAGATTCCCCAATGAATGATAATTGGCCGACCTTATTAAGCAAGAAAATCATGAAAATGGTGGACAAATGTTGAACCAGATGAGAAACAGCCAAGGTTATAAAAATGTAGTTAGAGTGGTGACTCAGTGGCTCCAGCAATACATGAATATAAATGAAGCTGTTTCTCCTAACATTCATGCAAGAGTATTTTAGGAAAAACATGGTTTCAGGGAGAAATATAAAAGCAAAGCAAAACCTGCAAGTTTTCATAAACAATCCTAGTCTGCTCACAACAGTGTAACCCAGATAAATTTTGCAAAATGTATCCAAATTATTTTGGGAAACAAAATAAATGTTGACATTAAATTATGGTGCACAGAAAGTACATTTCGCTTTGGGATTTGGAGAGGTATTTAAACTAGAATGCGGTGTTACTGAAAATACATTTTATTTTGCCGGTAAAAAGCCTCTATAGACCATCACCAATATGTCCGTCTTGTGACAAATCAAGATACTGGCTGTCCAGCTAGCTAACTATAATCGATGTCCAGTTACCAGGGACACTTATCTTCTTGTAACAGAAAAAACCAACAGCTGATGTCTAATCCACAATGTATTTTCCTTAGGAAAAAAAAATGAAAAACTGATGTTCAATGATGATTAAAGCATGTGTTGTTAATACTTATAATAGCATGATAACAGCAGTAAATGATTCATACACCCTGGGGTCACATATTCCAGCTGTTTAACAGTCGGTGCCCAGAAACAGTGCTCTGCTTAACACGCAAACCCGGCCAGGTGCCGCTCACAGGTCTGTTTTCACCACAAAACCACCATCACCCGAGGGCGGGGATGGATGTCCAGTTACCAGGGACACGGGTCTAAACGGCCGAAAGGACGCAGCCAGCGTGGGAATGGCACGGGGTCCGGCGGCAGGCTCACAGTTCTGGTCCGAGTCCTCGATCAGGATGCGCAGTTTCTGCACGCAGAGCTGGGGGCGAGAGGGAGGGAAAACTGCTGTTGGAGACACTTCAGCTTAGATGCGACAAGCTTATAATTTTGCAATAAAAAACAGATGCACAAGTGCTTTGTTTTTGGAAGGATCATAGTTAACTGTATTGAGTCCCACGCAAACATGTTATACAATCCTGCTGTATTCAGTGACACTTAATAAACTTGACAAAATTAATTATTTAATTGGATTGTAAAGGGTTAATCTCAGTATTCATGGGAGAGAATTAAAAAAAAAAAAGAAGCTGGAAAAATACCTGAATACTGGCACTATGATTGGGCATCCCAGAGGAGAGTGAGATCAGCACTGCAAAGACAGACAGATGCTTATGAAGTCTTACGTACAGGCCGGTCACTCAGCACAGTGCCTACATCAGAGTGTGCAGGGACAACAGTATCCAAAGATCTTACTCAAAGTTTTCAATAACTACTGATAGCGTATTATAATTTAATTCAGGACACAGTCACCAGTAGCAGTCATCATCAAAAAAAGGTAGAGGATAAAGTCATCATCATCTGATGAATAAAACCAAATCTCATTTTACATCTCTAATCTCTAATCACTAAACAAACCAGGATAAAGTTTATGATCTGACCTGCAAACACGCAGCTAACCTTCACAGCATTAGTGACAAGTGACCGTGATTTTACAGCACAAATGCGACCCTGATCTTTCACGTCATTGTCCTCAAACAAGAACAGAATTGCAGATAAAACGATACCGACCTGCAATGACAGTGTTGACACACTCATACAGCAAAGACATGGCTGAGGTACTGAGGAAGGAAAAGGTAAACAAGTTGGAGGGGGCGAGGTCAAATGAGGCCTCTCATACAGGCAGACGACAAAAGGTTTAGCCTGTCAAAACATTCTCAATAATTACAATCATTTCCCTCTCATCAACTATTACAGGCCTTGAGGCAGATTTCCACAGGAACTATGCTACACTAATTTTAACTAACAAAAGATGGGAATATCACTAATGTGACTGAAGCAAAGATATTGTCCTCCTCTCACAGTATCTATTAGTCACAAAACCAGCTGTAAGGATGTCATTGGGTGGCAAATCCACAGAACCCAGTGTCGACACACCCGCTCGCCACCCTACCTGTGGATGAGGTTTGTCAGCGGTTCGATTAACTTCTTCCCCAAGCGAGGCTCCAGGGGAGTGAGGGCCCCAAACTGCGGAACAGAGACAGCAGGAATTAATGGTGAACCAGGCACTTCAGACCAGCTCTATAGCAGGAAACAATGGTTTTATTTTTGCAGACTTCCCACTTCATTGACTATCTCAGCGTACAGAAGGAGCGAGCGAAGAGGCAGGGGGAACAGGAGACACACTGTGCTGAGCCACTCACCAGCTTGATGATCTTGATGAGGACCCAGTTGTTGGTGGAGGAGGTCATGAGCTTGAAGAAGAGCGGAGCCAAGGACAGGTAGTTTTTGGGGTTCCGTCTGGCCAGTTCGCAGATGACGTTCACAGCTGCTGACTGGACCCCTGGGACACATGGTGACGACAATTAACTACGAGGAGTCCGTACAACGTCTGCACAGCTGTTGTAGACTACAAAAGTTCATTTAAATTCATTACTCCAAGGTGTGTCCCAGCTTTCAGAAACAGCATAACCAATCAGCATTATGATCCAATCAGCCATCTTTGACAATGCGTGCAGGATTGAATAATGGAAAATTTGTCCTTTTCATCGCACTCACGTGAGTTTTACTTGCACAACAATGTTGAGCGCAGAACGAAAAATGATTGATAACCAATCAAACTGTAGAGGTGGGTCCAAGCAGCTAGCAGAGGCAGGGGAAAAACATCTGATTGATAGGTCCCAGCTCCTCTATTTGCGAAGAACCCACTTCCTTTACAATCTGATTGGTTCAGAGAGATAACCAATCATTTTTTTTGTTCTGCCCTCAGCATTTTTGTGTAAGTAAAACTCCCACGAGCTTTCAGCGTGGTCCTCTGCTTCAGAATCCCTGTGCCTCTTCTTTTTTCGTGAATTAAAATTACACCACTAGTTCTCACCCTCCTAACCCATTTCTGCTTCCCTCACCAGGGTCAGGGTCCTCCAGCTTCTCCTTAAGACGGGGAAAGGCCGGCCGTAAGGACTCTGGGTATTTCAGGAACACTTTGTACATGATTAACACAGCCTTCTTTCGGATGAATGGTTTAGTGTGGGACATCTGAGACAGAGTGGGAGTAAGTAGGAATTAAGTAAGGAAAATGAAATGATACAGGACCAGAAGAGGAGAAGGACAGAGGTGCTTACCAGGGTCATAATGTCATTGGCCAAGTCCCGAGCGAGGTCAGGGGTCACAAAACATGACAGGCCAGTCAGAGCGACTCCTGTGTCATACTGGTTAGGACTACTGAGATCCTAAGAGGAAGACAGATGGAGGGAGGGATGGATGGTTATAACCAGCCCCCTTCAAGGACAATCTGAATTGGGGGGGAGGAGTCACAGACCTTACGAATCTGATTGGTGGTCAGCATGATGACATCAGTGCCTTCGTGAAAGCACTGGGAAGCTGCCAGGTAGCCAATCCTCTGTTAGGAAGATGGTATGTTAGAGAGACTCCAGAGCTAAAGCTGGGTACTGGGCTTTCAGCTCAAAGGCGCCACATTTCTGTGTGTCCCTTGAATGGCCGCCCCTCACCTTGTATGTGAATTTGGAGGAAGACATAACCTCCACGATGTTGAAGGCTGCCCAGCTGACGTCGTAGCCCAGCATCTGCAACTGTGAGGAGGGTGCAGGGCAGGTTTGTGTTATGCAAACAGCACTGGGCCCCGTTCACATCCAGGCTGTAAACACCACACCGCGGCACGACGCGACGCGGTGGGATTTCAGTCCTGCGGCGGTGAGCAACCGCACAACTGGCCGCTAATGATGCCAAACCAGCCGCTAGATCCCTTCTGGTGTTCTAGAGAAAACTTTCTATTAGCGTCTAAGAGCACTTCATTAGTGTAACTAGCCTGACTGAATACTCATAATGACGGCTCATCGGAATCGGCGTCCCCTGTGTAACGGAGGGGGCCAGTCAAATAACAGCCCAGACTGCTCCCACTGGCCAGCTGTGCAGTAAACGCCAGCGCCCACTGTACAGTGAGGATAGCGAGAAGAGTTCGGCTTACGTAGGTGAGCTTGCACACAGCATTGGCCTTGACTGCGATGTTGTCCTGCTTGAGTTCCTGTTTGATCTCATCTATGCAGGTGGAGATGTACTTTGCCTGTGGGGGGGGGACAAAACATGGTTTAACACACTGATACACTATGGACAATGCAGAAAAAATGAGCCTAACTGCATGTCTTTGAACTGCAGTTGGGAAGTAGGATACCAAGCAGAAAACTGCATAACATGGAGAGGATGCAAACTCCACAGATCACTGATCCCACTGGGCTCCCAGTTTCTCTCCAAATGTTAAATAAATACGCAGCCTGATAGAGTCACACCCTAGTAATAAATGTTCCTATGAATGTTAAAGTTAAATATTATTAGGAAAAACATTTGCCATTTTTTAAAAGGCAACACACGGATTTCTATACGCTACATTCCTGTTTATTTAGGAGCTTGACGCTTTTAAAACAAAGAACAAGTGCAAAGGGAACTAAGCTACGCTGATGTGTCACGCTTGCAGCCACAAGAGAGAAAAAGGGGATGACTAGGAAAACTGGATTTGCAGATGAAGAGATCAGCTCTGTGCAGACGTAAGCGATCTGAGGCTGTGCAGCGCACACACACACACACACACACACACACACACACACACACAAAAACAGAACGGTGGGGGCCGCTAACCCCAGCTTCAGATAAGGTGTCTGTATCCAGTGCAAACCAAACAGGGGAAACTGCAAACGATTCAGGATGGCAAACCAGTGAACAGGATTCACAGAGGGAGGACCAGGGCACTGAATGGCGCCATTATGGTGTGACGGCAAACATACGCACCAACCATTTTGCTCTCTGGCTATAACGAGGAACGTGGAGGCCAGAATACTGGTCTGTCTCACTCTCACACAGCTAGAACAGACTCACTCCATACAGTTATCAAGTGACAACATGCAAACAAAAGGGCTTTTGCCCTGACTTGAACCCCCCCCTCCCAAACATCTACACCTTCCACCCTTCTACTTTAATCGCCTTCACTATAATCTATAGCCATTTTCACGTATTATCCTTAGACCATTTGACAAAACAGCACCTTCTTAATGATGTAACTTATCCATTTCATTTCCATTTATATATACACGGCTACATCTTATACAATGGGACTTTAGGTATCAAATGTAACACACACACACTGAGTAAAGACTCTCCTGCACAAAGCTAGGAGTGAAAAATTGGTGGATTTTCCATCTCCGTTACGGTGGGCCAAACAATTCATAAGCCTGGCCTAGATAGACACCACCTATCCTTTGCTATCCATTGCACAGATGTTCAATCGAGTCGGGGTGCACGCACTGTCCAATCGCACAGCTGCTTTATCGATTCAGGTCCTGTGCCACTGTCCGAAAACACAGTCCGGTTATAGGAAAGAATTTAACAAAAAGAAATCAGTAATAACTAAGCAGTAAACAGTTGTCATCCAAAACATCACTAAAACACAAATAATATCTATGTCAACTGAATTTTGCTAACAGATGGTGTGGCACCATAGACATTTTAAGGGCTAGTATTATTTGCAGAATTTTGTGTTCATGTTATTACCTTTTTGGTTGTCATCATTTATTGGTAACTGCACTTGGCGGGAGATAAATACTTAGTAATAGCTCAGTTAGTGCTGAAGTACAAATCACAAAAAATTCATGAACGGATATAGTTCCTACTTGAGCTAAAAGATGCATCATGAATCATTAACTTGTCATTCATGACTTGTTCCTTCAGTAGTTCCTTCAGAACTTAATTCTGTAAACCTTTGTGAACTAAAAGATAAAACAACAAATGTAACTGCTTGGGATAAACGTTTCGCCATGATTCATTAATGATGAACAAACAAGAGGTCAGTATTTCACTTCAGTTATTCATGACTTGTTCTTTCAGTAGTTCACAAAGGTTTACAGAATTCAAAGACAGAGACTGTCCAGATAAAACATGCTTCACGATTTTTTAATGATGAATTAACATGTCATGAGTATGTAACTAAGACTTGTTCAATTGATACATAAGTAATAGTATAATATTAGATTATTTTTGCCCCGTCAAGTAAAGCGTTACCAATTTAGGATACTTAAAACGCTTTTTGTGTCATTTTTAAACAAGTAGATTCCCGTTTTCACCTTAAATCGTTATGTTGTTGGCAGTGCAGTACGGCAGTAAACGGAACAAACGAAAATAAAAGCCTTTCATGTTTTTCTGTTGTCCGTGCTTTACCTTAAATTCCTCTAAGTAACGGGTTTTGTTGTTGGCAGTGCAGTACGGAAGTAAACGTAACAAACGAAAATAAAAGCCTTTCATGTTTTTCTGTTGTCCGTGCTTTACCTTAAATCCCTCTAAGTAACGGGCTGTGTTGTTGGCAGTGCAGTACGGCAGTAAACGTAACAAACGAAAATAAAAGCCTTTCATGTTTTTCTGTTGTCGGTGCTCTTGCCTATTGTTGCCCCTTGTTCTGCCATTTGCCAATACTAAGACACAGGCTGCGTTCGGTGTAAAGAGGACATGACATACGGTCTGACAACGCTATATTTCTTTAAGAGTTCAGTACCAACAGGTATCCAACCGGGTAGCACAGCGCTACCCACTGGGTCGCGCGCTACATCCTGGCTGGATAGGTGGTGTCTAGTTTGTATACTCTGTGTACAAACTAGCAGAGCAAACAGAAACGTTACATGGAGAAAATACAGGGGCTCCAAAAAAACACATTAACACTTCAGAGTGAGGACCCCCCCCCAGTCTGAGAGAATGTGGCCAGGTTACCCCACTCAAGGGGAGCCGTAACCAGGCAGGTAACCGTCATAGATTCGCACCATCCTACTGCACATTCATGTAGAGAGTGTTCTAACAGCAGCTTCTAGGGCTGTGGCGATCAAGTAACGATGTGATCGTTAGATTTTACCGAGAAGCCAGAGTCCGGACAAATGTCTCACCCATCGTCTCATCGATTATTGCGCATGAGACATATAATTGCGATTACGTCACGACGTGATCTCCACAGTCCTAGCAACTTCCAAACTACATATACTATTAAGGCCATAATCATTAGATTTGTTTAGTTTTTTCCAAGTAAAAAAAACGACTGACCACAAATAGAAGCCACATCATGAATATTATATAGGCACAGATAAGTGGGCTAAGCCTCTATGCCTGAGATCAGAAGGACGCCGGTTCGAACCAGGCCTCGGCACATCTGCGGGTCCTTGAGCAAGGCCCTTAACCCCCAGCTCCCTGGGCGCTGCTGTGTGTGGCTGCCTTTCACAATCAGTGTGCTCTGATCACTGATTGTGAGGCGTAAAGAGAATTTCCCCATGGGAATCAATAAAGTATCGATTATTATTATTTGGCCTATTATTATTAAGTTTATAGTTTAAAATACAAAGATGCACTGTTAATTCCATCTTAGAGTCTTCAATAGAACATTGATAAACATAGATGCGGGTGAGCATCACTGGTTCATGATAAAAAAATTTATGAAAGAACAAGAAATCATGGACGAACAGGCAATCAGAGGGACAGCAACAACTTCAGAAAGAACTTAATCAGCCTAACTAATCTTTAACTGCTGCACTGGAATCGGCATTTTCACTATTCAACGAAGAACAAATAAATGAAAAGCATGAAATACTGCAGTGCAGGTAAAAGAACAAAGCGGCATTAAGCTGAGTCAGAAGCCATGATACTGTTGGTCATTTTAGGGACACTTGTGCCTGTCAATGTGTTGAAATGACATCAGTGGAGCCAGCTCCCAAGAAACAAGGGGACAAAATGTGACACATTCAAGTATCAACATTTAATATCATCAAATCAGATTCAATCTGCATACAATCTGTAATTATACCAATGGAGCCTGGCATATTTCTTTGCTCCTGTAAAATAAATCGCCATTATTATGTGCACTGACCGTCTGCTCTTGATTCTTATCCGGTGTGGAAAAACGAACCGACTTGTAAGATCCTCTTGAGGAATTAAGTGTCACCCTTTAGCACAACCTCATGCTTAAATACAAAAGGCGTGCCGTGCTCCATTCATCAACATCTACACCTGGCTGCAGAAATAGGTCACTTGCTTTATGTAGATTTTAACTACAGGCCTGTGAGTCAGACAGGCTTGTGTGCTTTGTGTCCTGAGCACTGTCACAATTCCTATTTAAAACAAATAAACTGAATTCCTATTTAAAACAGCAAAATGATTCTATTAATTGCAATGCTCTCCCACTTCCTACCATTCTTGTCTAAACATTTTTCTAACCAGGCCACTAGAGACATTTCTCTGTACACTCTGCTCATATACAAATAAACAGTTCAAGCAGCTAAATTTGTTCCATTGGAGTGACTTTTCAGGGGATTATGTTAAGTTCAGACCCTGATATGTGCGATTAAAAACATTTATCCTAACATACAATGCCATCTGTTCATCTAGCCTTATTGAAAGCAAAGAAATCCACATTTTACATAACAAGTTTACGTTAAACCATTTTTAAAAGTATTGAAATATACTTCCTTTGTGTTAATCCTACATTAATTCAGGGATTCAATATGCAAATAATTATGATTATATGTTGTAATTAAATCATAAAAAACAGTGTAATTCAATGTTTTTTAATTACTTTAAATTTAGTTAATTTTGTAACCGATTCACAGCCCTGAAAATATAAATAACATTCTAACACTTCAAGGCTGAAAACTGATGATTACGATAAAACAGTGGTCGGCAACCTTGATCCTAACTGACAGGCCCATCCTTAAGACACAGTCAATCGTGACAATCAGACCGTCAACCATTTGATTGTCAAAAAATATCCCTCCTGCACAGCAAAATTTATCGAGATTTCCCCACGGTCAGAAAAATCCCACTTAATTTCAGGCTTATGAGCCATGGTCCATTTTAGCATCAACTTTTAGAAGAATAAGCAAGTGACATACATCTTAAATATGTCTGTCAAAATACAAGACATTTTTTTCTTGCTGGATAACTAAGTTGGTGGTATTTAGATCTGGTAACAGAGCAATAAGACAGTGTAAGATAGCCGCTATATTAGTGTCAGATACCTAATCTTTAGCCTAATTAAACTTGCCATGAAACTCTACATGATATTGTCCCTAATGTCAGAATCATTTCATGTCAAAATGCTTATAAACCAGCTTAAAATTATCCATTCAAAGCCATCATTAAAATTCACCTTTTAAAAAATTAAGTATCTACATGCATGTTGAATTTTTTTCACAATCTGCGAATATGTAGAACATAAAACAACTTGTAAATCACATTCAAATCAAAAATTCCAAACCAGGTTATTCTAGAACTCTCTGTCACCAGAACTGCAAACAGCAGTGAGGTTATGATACGACTCACATGACTAACTAAAGAAATGTAATATTATTGCCAATAACAAACACTTTAAGCGATGTATACGGGCATACTGTACATATGGAAATAAAACAGTCAATGCAAGATGCAACACACCGACACGTACAGAGATCTCAAGAAAACCCACAATGTATAAAAAGTACTGCACTGAAATAATAATGTTATTGCAATAACATGTACTGCCAGCCTCAGATCATCAAACTTATGACTCGTCAACGTGGGTCTGCAAAATCTTTAGTGAAGTTTTGCACGAAGGCACCGACAGAGATGAATGATTTTGCCTGTAAAAACCACAGTGTAATATAACATACACAACCCTTCGCAAAGCTACTGTATGAAGAAAGATACATTTGGAAATAATCAGTCAATCACAGCAATGAATGAGAACCCCCCCCCCCCTTAGGATCCGCACCGGTCATAGCCAATGTAGCACCATAGGCGAGCATCAACAACGCTGGCACCCACAGTCTGAGGCAAAGTGAAACTGGCACCCCCTCAGAAGTTTGCCCCCCAGGTGGATTAACCCAATCAGGATAGTGTGAAGGGTTACATAAGAACTTAAATTACCAAACAAGAGGAGGCCATTCAGCCCATCGGGCTCGTTTGGGGAGAACTCAGCTAATAGGTCAGAGTTGTTAAAATGTCAGATTTAAAGGAATACAGGGTTTTAGCTTGCACTACACTAACTTAATTTAAAATAACTTAGTTTAAAATGTTCTCTAGCTAATTACCACCTATGGCCACGAGTATTCTGTATCCTGTATTTGAACTAATATTCAAGTTACTATTCAATTGAACAGCATCCAGACCCGTTAGAATCTCATATACCTGGATCATGTCCCCCCTTAGTCTCCTTTGCTCGAAGCTGAACAGATACAGCTCAGCTAACCTCTCCTCATAAGACATTCCTCTAGGACCAGGAGTCATTCTCGTAGCCCTACGCTGAACCTTTTCTAAGGCAGCAATGTCCTTTTTAAGGTATGGTGACCAAACCGGCACACAATATTCTAGGTGGGGTCTTATCAAGGAACAGTATAATCTTAGCATCACCTCCCTTGACTTAAACTCCACACACCTAGAGATGTAACGCTTTTTAGTCCAAACGATGCTCGGGACGGGAGCTGTCCCGTCATCAGCCAAGCGATGTCAGCACCCCTGCGTGTCCCTGCTGCACCGGGTCACCTGGATCTCTCGGCAAAGCTTCCCCGACCCGCAAGCGATCACTCATCCCCCGCGGCCCGCCACCATTTCGGGATCAGTCATCATGATGGTGACCGACGGGTGTCGCGCATGAACAGGTCGGGCGATAACGGCACCTGGACAAAACATCCCATAATGTCAAAACTGCTCAGAAAAAAATGTCCGATTGAAAAAAGTATCGCCTGTTTCGATATTTATGTGAATATGTATGAAGTTTGGCGCTATTGACGCCTCTAGTATATTAGTTGGCAGTCCGGGCAGAAAAGGCGACACTAAGCTAACGCCACAGGACAGCAGTAGGTGCTCAGTTAACGGGATGGTTAGTTACCTGGTTACCGATAACCACCTGCCTCTTGTCTGACTCGTACACGCTACAGCCGATGCTCACCTCGGCATGAAACCTAGGCAAACGTGGGCCGGGAGGCACCGGGCCGCCCGTCGGGCTCACCTCGTCCTCCTTGTGGTTCCGTATGCCGCGCACCAGGTCCTGCAGGTTCTTGTCGAACATCCTGTCGATACTGCCTTTGACCATCTTCAGAGCCATGGCTGCTGCGTCCCTGCGGTCCCGCCGGTCGGCAGGAGGAGTCCCCAGGAGCGGGCTGACCCAGCGTCTTCACGCCGCTGGAGTCCTCACTGCGGCCACCGCCGGCCTCGGGCTTATTTATGTGTTCGTCGGTGCCGCCTCAGACAGGGTGAAGCAAACCTCAGCGCGGTACCCAGAATCTGTGCAGAATCAGCTAGGAAATGGCTGACAAGATGGCGCCGGGGTCAGCTGACCGACCGCGTCACTGGGAGGGGAACGGTCGGGGACCCATCGGGGAATCCTAACAAAACACACATCATTCACCGAGTAACACGTTACATTTTTACTGACAGGAAAACAACAAACAAACAAAAATAAAAAAGAATCAACTGCCATTGAGAATGTGCTAACTACTGTGGCCCCTAGACCATATAATACAGACACGTGATTTCTAATTATAGTTCCTGGATATTATCATATTCATCCCGCTGTTCGGTGTAATTTATTCTGTCGCTGCGTCTGTTTGCTGGTTATCTGGATTGTAGGTTTAAATGTGGCACCATATATTCAAGGGTTCAGTCATTTTTATTTGTCACGTGCAAAGTGTACAGTTGGACGACAACCATCAGTGAACTGAAAGGTGGTCAACTCAAAATAGCAATATCAATAAAGGAATAAAACAGGGGGAAATAANTATTTGTCACGTGCAAAGTGTACAGTTGGACGACAACCATCAGTGAACTGAAAGGTGGTCAACTCAAAATAGCAATATCAATAAAGGAATAAAACGGGGGGAAATAAATAGGTACATAAGGAACAGAAAGTGGACAATAAAAGAAAAAACAGGTGTGCAAATGAACTGCATGGTGCATATGTAACAACCCAGTACATCTATTAACAAACATATAACTGTCCTAAGGGCAGACATTCCACGTATCCGGGAGACTCCCACAAAGAAACAGCAGCCCCCTGACAGCCGCAAATGATGCGGAAATCTGTCATTCCGCTATTTCAGCGGTGGTAAGTTTCACCGCTGCAACCTCACCCCAAATTTTAACACCACTCTCCAGCCACCTGCCCCCACCCCAGCCAGCTATATATATATATATATATATATATGTACAGTATTACCGTAATACCAGCCAAACATTGGCCAGCACCCCCACCCTCCCGGATGCCCCTCACCTACCTCCCTGAAATCAATATGCCTAAGGTGGGCTGTCTGTAGGGCTATGTAGTAATCGGATGGCTTGAGGGTAGAAGCTCCTTCTGAGCCTCTCAGTTCTCACTGAGGAACTGCAGACACGCTTTACTGACCTCAGCCTTGGTTCTTTGGGTGCGTTGTGTCCCTGCTGATTTCGGCTGCTCTGCTCCGGTACCATCTGAAGTAAACGTCCTGCAGGGAGGGCAGGTCAGCCTTGCTGATGCCTTCAGCTGAAGGTACCAACCTCTGCAGAGCTTTGCATTCCAGGGCAGAGCAGTTACCAAATCGGGCTGTGATACCCATGGTGAGGATACATTCTAACACTCAAGCGGAGAGTGGCATTGAACCCCCCCCCCTCAGGTGCCAAAGATGGTACAGCTGATTGCTTGCTTTAGATATCCGAATCTGTACATGATGGACCAGGTGAGGTCATCAGAGATACAAACTCAGAGATATCTAAAGGTGCTCTTCCTTTCAGCTGGGACCCATTTGACGTTGAGGGGGCTGTATTCACTGCAATGCTCGTGCATAAAAGCCAGTGGCATCTGTTTGGTTTTACTGGTGTTGATTGTGTCAGGCTCTCCATCTCATCCAGATAGACCTTCTCATCGTTATCGGAGATCAGGCCAATTACAACCACGTCGTCTGCGAATTGGACTATTTTGTTTGGTCTGTGTTTGGCCGCTCAATCATGCAGCAGTGGGCTCAGAACATGGCTTTGGGGGTGGGGTCATCGATGTTGAGGGTGATGCACCCCACCTTCACTCCTCTGGAGTCCGCCTGTGAGGAGGACTAGGACCCAATCGCAAAGGGGAGCATGCAGACCCAGGTTCCCCGAATTTGGTGAACAGTATGAAGGCCTGCTCACACTTCTCCGGATGCATACACGAAGATGTGTCTGTGGAAAGGCATACGAGGCGAACGATGTAAATTCTATTCTGCGATCAAACGCTTGCAGCATAAAGATCTCGTGTCCATGTGGCCACTGATCACTCTTGTCATCACCCACTGTGCATGTTTGATACACCCACAATACAACAGGGACAACAGAGACGTGTCTGAAGAACATCTATGTGAAGAAATTCGGCATTATATACATTTATATGACCTGTCATGTTTGAATTATAAAAACTCAAAAATTTGAAAACACAATATTTGTTCTGTAATAGATGGTTCAAATTGTATAATTCTTTCAGGCATCCAATTTGCAATTGTGATAACAATTTTATATATTTTTTGCTGCAAACATTTATCCACCCACCCATCCATACATCTTCTGTAATTGCTGTATAAAGAAGTTTCAGACACAGAGACATCTCATTTAATTTCAAACACAAGGATAATAACAGATTGTATAACTGTCTCAAATAAACTCTAATGCTGTTCTCCAAAAAACTGAATCATCAGACGTCCTTTTTGAATTGCCATTTCTTGCCATGGCAAGAAAATTTCCTTGACGTCTGAAAAAAAAAGTCATTTAAATTCTGCAACATGTGTAGTTCTACTTGTATACAGTAGAATTCTGCAGTCTGTCAGCCGCTGTTTCCCCTGTTGTGAAGTGCCTGATGAGTAATAATGTAAGGTGACAGGCCGTCTTTCCAATGCCTCAACTATATGATCGTTGCCACGCCCCCCCTCCCCCCTCATCCCTGTTCCAGGTCTGCGATTTCGCGTGCAGATCTGCAAATACAGTATGGCGAACTGAAGAGGATCAGGGGTCGTAGAACAGGTGGAGCAGGTATAATCTTTAAAGAGCTGGTCAGGGCAACAGGGAAGTAATCATCTAGACAATCATTTGGATTTATTCCTTGTACATAGTAATACATAACTTGAAATGTTTTATTTTTCAGTTCTAATATAAAATTTCTTATGTGTGAGGTAATACCACTGACTTTTCATTGTTTTTCTTTTTTTTGCTGCTGTAACATCTTAATTTTCCTGTGAGCATTAATAAAGGATGTACCGTTCATCCATCCGTCCGTCCGGCCGGTCAGTTGGTCGTTGGATATTTGATCGATTGATTTTCTTTTTTTAACTACAGCACTAGACAGGGAGGGATTGAACACGACGGCTCCATTCGCATCGAATCGAGCAGAAAAGGCACTGAAGCCGTCTGCCAGCGAGGAGTCCGTACGAATCCCAGAGAGGCGCCGACCTCCGTAATCGGGGATAATGCCAAGTCCTCCCACGGGAGTTGGGTGTCACCTGACTGAAAGTGGGACTCGACCTTCACAGCGAACCGCCTCGTCACATCCGTCACTGCTTTGTACTCGCTCATATCCCCCGACTCACTGTGCCTATATACTTGATAAGCAGATATATATTTTGTCTTGTATGCCCCCCTCCATTAAGTGCCCCCCTCCATTAAGGACGATAAGGAATTACAGAGAGCAGCAGTTGCGTTACAAATGGTCTTGCAGGCCCTGACCTCCCTTTACCCTGATGTGACAAAGAACAACAAAGAGTGACGGTTTGATCAGGGCTGTACAGACCCACTCCCAGGGGTATGTGGAGGTGGGGGATGTGAGACCTGTTTATGTCATGCCCCTCCATACTACAACACCTGCTCAAGATCCTTTTTTGACTCTTCTAATTAATGACAAAGATGTTTCTTCTTTAGTAGATACGGGGTCCTACTGTGTCTCTGGTTACCAACAAAGATGCTGGGGGTGGGGGGTAAAGGGTTCCCCTTTGTTTTTTTTGCCAAAGACAGGGGGGTCCCTCTCGTATATTTTGTTGATCGCAATCAGCTGGTTACCTATGTAATATATAGCTATCTAAGGCTAAATGACTTCCCAATTGCTAGTCCATGTCTGGTCACAGGATATGATGTCACAAGGAAACGTCAAGGCCGATGCTGCAACAAAGGAAGCAGCTCTCACTCCCATCTTCTCCATTTCAATCTGCACCCTGCCGATGGAAAAATCTCCGGCACCTTAATGATGATCTTCTGTTGCAGCGGGGAACTGATGCACAGATGATAGAAACAAGATGGCGGCAGTGAGGCATAGGACAAGCTCTGGAAGTCTAGCGACGGACGACCTGTTTGTCCCAGGGTGGTGTTCCCTGGAAGTGTAATAGGTGTACATTGTAATGTTTTGGTTCACACTTTGGCATAAGCACTCAGGCAGCAGAATATTGTAACAGATGCATGGGATGTTTGTGGAACAATGTAGCTACCAGATGGGAAGTTCCTCAGGGGATAATGGGATGTGAATACTATGGTATCGCAGCCTAGAAGTTATTCCCTGAAAGGTCAGTTCAACTTCCCTCTGGATTCTCAACATATTTCCCATAAATTTCCTTTCCCTGGCGGTGTGGGGGTAAGGCGGGAATGACCATTTTCTGATCACTTTATGATCACCATTTTGAGTGTTGGAGTAAATAAATAAATATATTAATTGATGCCCAAGTATTAAGACTAAAATATACACGTTTTAAAAGTGACTGTGGTAAGGGTTATGAATGTGCACATGATAAAGCACAAGGCCCACTCAAGGGTGGTGTGCAAATTGTCTTAGAAGAATATTGTATAGGACAAGCGGGTATAGAAAAGGCATAGCTGGGTAAAAGCATCTTTTCATAAAGGAAATGTATCCAGGTATTAATGAGTAGGTGTTTTACTGTGAGGTGCAGTGCATGGTGGTGCAGTGGTTAGCACTCACACCTCTGGGACCAGCGTTCGAGTCTCTACCATGGCTCCCTGGTTGTGGAGTTTGCATGCCCTCCCCATGTCACCGTGGGGGTTCCTCCAGGTACTCTAGTTTCTCCCCACAGTCCAAAAACATGCTGAGGCTAAGTGGAGTTACCAAATTGCCCACAGGTGTGAGTGAATGGCATGTGTGAGTGTGCCCTGCGATGGGTTGGTGTCCCATCCTGGGTTGATCCCTGCCTTGTGCCCTGCGATGGGTTGGTGTCCCATCCTGGGTTGATCCCTGCCTTGTGCCCCTAGGATCTTGACTCCCCCCCCAACCCTGAATAAGACAAGTGACTACAGAAGATGGGTGGATGTTTTATTGCGATTTGTAATATGAAGTGTATGTTTTACCTTATCTTGTTTTTGTGCAAAAAGGTTGCCTTAACCTGATCTAAAACAAGTGGAAGGTCACGAGATATTCAAAATATGACCTTCACACGTGAGGAATGTGAAAATGGCATGTAACTAGCCAATAACAATTAAGTAAAACAACCAGGGATGATTGAGAAGGCAGCCACCTGGTGACCACAGAAGAGTTTCTTGCTGTAAGTTTGTATAAGTGAGTGAGCTGCCCTCTGCTTTTTTGGGAAATACTTCATGACTTTGTCTGAAATCTCCAGCCAACTCTTTGTTCCTTTATATTTTCTTCACAAATTCACATATTTGTAAATTGTAAGGTTATAGTTTCAAGTTCCAGGATTCTTTTGCTTTTGCATCACTAAGACAAAAAATGTAAGCCCATAATCTACTTCAGTAAAACTACCAGCAATGGGTAAAAGTTTACATATACAAGATACAGACAGTATGTCCCTTCAGATAATTTTTTTTTATGACATTTCAGTACAATTCTAACATTTATTCTAAAACATCCTACAATTTGAGACAGTATGTATATGCGATCACATATATGTTTTTCATATATGAAATGCATGGTTCGTTTCTTCAGGCCTCGCTATGCTGGACTGACACCTCCAGGCCAGATGAGGGCGCTGCTACTTGAACTTTCGATTTTGATTGCTACTAGCATATAATTTATTTCCTGTCTGTACGCTTCCCAGATCCCCTTTCCTGTTGGATGTAAATACGATCAGCTCAGTGCATGTTCCGTTACTGATAAAAATACAAACATGAAGAAATTTTTTGAAGATATTAAGAAAGATATCAAATTCAAGTCGGCAGGACCTGGAAAGAAACTAAATGAAGACAGTAGGTAAATACTTTTCAGAGACATAAGCTGATTCAGTTGTTTCTCTGTGCACTTTAATGAGCAGATGGAAGCTTATTTACTGTATATTTAGGCCAGTTTATTGTCCATGTTGGTAGAATGCATAAGTTGCATGATTAAAAGCGCTTGTTTCCCTAGCTGTACAGATAGCGTTATTTGTGAAATCCCTGTAGTATGGATTCTTTTTAGAATATCGTAGTTTATTTTGTGTCGATTACTTTTTGCCTTTAAATAACATCATGAAACTCCGGAGACAGAAATCCTTCGATGGCATGACTGAACAAGGGAATAAGCCTCATTTATTCTCAAGTTTGTGAACCGCGCTATTCGTGTTTCGTTGCAGTGTTTTTACCACTTTGGTTTGCTAATAGATACTCCAGTGATGTAAAACTGACGTGAAACTGATGATCTTTAAAGCGAACGTCGTAGTGTTTATGTCGTTGCTCTATATGTAGGTCATTATGAATCTTCTACGTGGATACACTGTTTGTATTGATTATGTTTCAGTCCGGTACACTTTTAAAGGTTTGCCTTTTTGTTGCGTTTTCTATGCGAAGCCTACAAAAAAAAACCTATGATCACCAATGTAGGTCTGCTTTGTCCTCTGTGCCTAGCAGCTCTAACCCGCCGGTGGTGCAGAGCAGTGCCCCTGCCAAGCCCCGCCATGCAGTTACAGAGGGAGCCCAGAGAGCAGGGGCTGCAGCCCTGGCTAGGATAGAGCAGCAGCAACAGTACCGGCCTCGGCTTCAGACCTCGCAGGATGCTATTCGCAATCAAGGTGTATTGCAAAAGATACACGGTTCCCACAAACTGCACAGAAACAAGTCTTGTAGCTATACATCAGCTATACATGACCTACAGAAAATGCATGCTAGTGCCTTTAACATGTACTGTTGTAGACCTAGAGACACAAATAGTAATCATACACATCAGAGGAAAGGGCATGGAATGATATGCAATAGCTTTTCACGCTAATGAACTCCGCTGGGTGGTTAATGTTTGTCAGTAAATTGTTTGTGATTCTGATCGCGTCTCCTCACCTTGTAGTGAAGAAGGAACTCGAAGCAGAAGCTGCAGTAGTAGCAGGCGAAAAACCCTCAACAGATATTGAGGCAAGGAAAAACCTGTTTATTCTTGGAGTTTGACACACAAGCTCACTAAACCTTGATCGGTATGTGATAGTGTCATTTATGACACGTTCTTTCCTGCAGGGCACCAACATTCCAGTGAAGGATACAGAATGTCTTTCTGTGTCGGGGGTGTATTTTAAATGCCCTCTTACCGATGGGGTCTTTAAAAAGAATGAGAGGGAGCCTCGTATTAAAGAAGCTATTCTCATGGTGGGTACCTTCATCTAATGCTCTAGAAGTGGTACGCGATTTACATTTAGTCACAAAGTTCACCTCCAGAGCTCTTGTAAAAAAAAAAATATATATATATATATATATATACACACACACAAATTGTCGCAACTCATCACTGCTAAGAATTGTTTCCCTTTGAATACATGTGGAATATGCATTATATGATTTTAAAAATCTTATCACCCACTTATTTTCTTCTAACAGCATTTTGCAAATGACCCTGTGCAAGCCTCTATCATGATGATTCATACTTTCAACAAGGACAGAGAGAAAGTGAAGGCTGCTGTGGAAATCATCTGCAGGTGAGGGCCGTGCAGTCTGAGATTGAAGATGTAGTTCTGAAGAGTATCGGCTTGTACGGCAGCGTGAACATACTGCTTCAAAGATTCCTTGGCTCCTCTTGTATTTCCTGGCCAGGTATCTGGACAACATTTGTAAGAACCCAGAAGAGGAGAAGTTTAGGAAGATCAAAGTCAGCAACAAGATCTTCCAGGTGAGTGAGAGAACGTGAGAGTGGCCCACAGCAGGTTTAGCGTCCCACTGGGTTTCTTGTCTTACCTGTTTTTGTCCATGCTTGTCTTCAGGAGAAGGTCAGTTGTATGGAGGGATGTCAGGAGTTCCTACAGGCTGCAGGATTTGAATTTAAAAATTTACCCTTGGAGGGAAAAGGTGAGTTGGGGGGGTGACTGGAGCCTTGGGCAGTCAGCACATGGCACAGCATTTAGATATACGGCAGTATACCATTTTATCGTAACACTGCCCATCTTGTTCATAAGTTTACCCGTTTTACTACATTGCTTGTATTTCTTGCGATTCACCTGCCCTCTGCTGGTCTGGCAGAGTATCTTTGCCGTTCACATGAGTGACTACCTACATCCACAGGTAAATGTGGACTCTTGCATACATAGTACAACAGCATATGGAAAAGTGAAGTATGAACTGGGCTTAATACACCAGCGCTGCCGTTGCTAGGTGATGTCATTATACCCAATTTATCAGTTGATGACAAATTTTGTCAACTATTTTATTACAGATTATTACTGACGTTATTTATTAGTTGTCGGAACCCTAATTGGGAGTGAATGCTCGTACATCCTAGATGGTAGTTCATCTCAGTTGTAAGTTATTCGATAAATTTATGTTCATCTGAAGATGCAACTGTAAGGACACTGGTGGCCAGTGGTGGAATGTAACGAAGTATTTGTACTTCGTTACTGTACTTAAGTACATTTTTACGTATCTGTACTTTACTTAAGTAAAAATAATAATGCATACTTTTTATTTTACTCCATTACATTTTGTGGCAATTATCTGTACTTTCTACTCCACTACATTTCTACAATTTATGCCGTTAGTCGTTACATTTTATGAACACAATTTCCTCAAAATCTTGCATGAAAAAATAGTTATCCTATTGCGTTCTGGCGTTGTTTGCCATTCCTACCAATCAGGTGGCTTTATTAGCTCCAATGATGGCAGAGCGCCCGTCAATTAGCAGCACGAGCTGGTAGACTGGCTTGATTTCAAGAAGACGAGACATTCAACATGGACGCAGAGCCAATACACATATACTGTTTAGTTGATTGTAATTATTACGTGCAATGACATCGGTAGAGGCGTAAGTCAGTATATCTACTATTCTTTTACAAAATGGCATACCCCAGACATTGAGACAAACAATTGTGTGAGTACTTTTACTTAAAAAAATACTTTAAAGTAAATTTAAAAGTAAGTACTTAGTACTTTCACTTAAGTAAGATTGTTGATGTAGCACTTCTACTTTTACTTGAGTACATATTTTGCAGGATATTTGTACTTTTACTTAAGTACTAAGCTTCAGTACTTCCTCCACCACTGCTGGTGGCATCGTTCTCCTGAGTATGCATGTCCCTCCAGAGGGCACAGAGGAGTTCCTGGTGCTAGTGGAGCAAACTTCCAGCGAACTGGAGAAACTCACACAGACGAAGGACCAGCTTCAGAAAGGGGAGCCGCTGCGAGCTCAGCTGGAGCGCCAGCCGCAGGCCTTCCGGCCCTCCCCAAACGCCACGCGCTTCGAGCTGCCCATGGACTTCTACAATCTGACCGCTGAGGAGCTGAAGAGGGAACAGCAGCTCAGGTGTGGAGCCACTTCCAACTATCTGCATGAGACCGACAGTATCACAGACGAGTTGGGTATCATCGCAGATTTAAAATGTTTGTCAGGATGGAGACAGCGGAGAGGAACGCGATGCTCCGGACGAAGGCCATGCGGGAACGTGATGAGCAGAGGGAGAGAAGGAAGTACAACTACACCCTACTAAGAGTGCGCTTTCCAGATGGAAACATCCTGCAAGGTCTGTAACTGCTCTTCCAGGTGTCGATAAATGCTGCCGTTCCACTCTATTCATGCTGATGCGAATTCTAACATGACAAATAATAAATTGCATATCACTGAAGTCCATTAGGTCTAGGAAGGGTTCTCCAACCCAGCTCCTGGAAAGATTTTCTTTTTATAAGACGACAATTTATCCCTGTGGGTAAGTTCTGGTACATAAGCATCTCCAAAAGTCCTCTCACCTGTAGTCAGTGAAGACATGTGACGAAATGAGTTTGAAGGTTGTTTTTTTCCTGTTTGGATGCTGCAGGAACCTTCCTGGCTAGGGAGCCAGTGGCAGCCCTTTATGAGTTTGTGCGAGAGTCACTTGTGGATGGATGGCAGCCCTTTGAACTGATGGCCCCCGGGGGGCAGAAGCTGAAGGATGACGAGACATTACTAAACGAATGTAATCTGGTGAGCACTGACAAACCTCTCTAAGATTCAGGTGCACGAAAAAATAAAAATTCAAATAAAAGCTTTCAGGACCCAAAAGGGAACCTGCAAGGAAAAAGATGAGTCCTGGTGAAATTAGCGTGGTGGGTGTTTCAAGATACAAAACGCAATGATTTGCCTGAGTTTCAAAGTTTCACCAGTACCTGGGGGCCATATCCAGATGAGAAAATTTGCTTCTAGGTGGATGAATGATGCACCTTTTTTCAATGGGATGCTCACCAAGCACTGGATCAGTCAGATGCTCCAGGCAGGAGGACAGTGGAGGGTGTCTGATTGCATTGAACAGAATGCATAGAACGATCTCTTACACATTTTCTTCCTCAGGTCCCAGCAGCTCTCCTGACGTTCTCCTGGGATACTGCTGTCCAAGCAGATATCGCTGCAGCTGGAGGACATTGCACCTCTCTGCTTAAACCCGAACTACTCGAGAACATCAGGACCCTGGTCTAAGAGGCAATACCCATACGCCAGCCCCCCCCCCCTTTGTCTCCTGGGACTACTTCGCTTCCTACCACGTTTTAAACGGTCACAATTTTAGCACCGGATTTATTAGTCTAGTGAATAAATCGAGAGGTGTGTCCAGTTTTGTTTTTCGGTTACACCTGTATACCCACCATTGTCTTAATGAAAGAGCCAGTTTAGTGGTTCAGACCCAGATGTGTGGGATTCAAGTCAACACTAATGAAATAAAGCATCAGTAGTCAGCAGTCTGCTGATGTAGTATTGCAGTATTGTAGTTTTACTCCTGGAAGGACTGCGATGGACATGGTCCTGCAGGTGCCGTCCTGCCACTATAGCTAAGCAATCTTATCTACGCGATGACATCACAGGATATGATTTTTCAAAAAGTAAAATGTCAGCTGACTCACATCTGTTCATTGCCATTCCTTCCAGGATTGGCCATGTTCGAAATCCAATCGAGTCTTGGTACATGGCTATTTAGGCTCTGCCTTGTACCGTTTAGCACCCTTTACGTAGTACTGCTGTGCAAAACTCCACAGAACCACCAGAAAGGCAAATCTGCAATCATAATGCCGACTAAAATCTGAACGCTTACCTGAAAAACAGCTGCATGACGTCGGACGTTAAACTTGCTGGTTAATTACAAAAGATCCGTATTGCTCTAATTATAACATCACACAGCAAACTCACGAAGAACTGCAGAAACATAAAAGCAAACATTTTTGTTCAACAGAATCTGACCATCACTTGAATCTTGTAGGGTCAGATCCCTCTAAAATGAAGCAGTTCATTCAAGTTCAAATGCTTAGACTGAATGGTGACTTAACTGAGCGCACCTGAAATTCAAAGCATACTGACCATGACTACGCCCATTGAGTAATGGGATGTAGCAGCTACTAATGGTGAGAAGCTATAGATAATCTTGGGTTTTTGTGTTTATACTTTGTTCTGCTCCTGGTCCCATTATAAACATTTAAAACTGTTGTTTTCTTGTTTATGCTCCAGTTACATAACTTTGTTTCAACACAATACTAAATTATCTCTGCTAGCCCAGAATGCACTTTATCTCACTCTGGTAACTTACAAATGTACTTATTTGCTTTTATTGTGTTTAAAAACTATGTATATATATTTGACATGCCTGAGGTTTGTATGGTGGTTTTAAACTGTCAAGGTGACCTTTATAACAGATTTGAGTGTTTATGATCTTATCTGAATAAATCAAAATGTACAGCAACTTTGTACTGGGATGAATTAAGGTTAAAAGGACAATATTTACTGTAAAATGAAACCCATCTACACACTCATACATTCAAACTGGCTCATTTAAAACAACTTTAAATGAGCATATCAGCCAGTTACCTGTGCAGAATCTTGAAATGCTGTACGTCAGGATTTTTAAAATAATGCTTTATTTCAAAATTTTCCTCTTAGACATTTTAAGTCACAACTGCAAACTACTCTAAGCATCTCTGCCACTAAAGATTAAACAGTCACTCAAGGAGGGAATGGGCCCATAATGTCACCCCCAGACCATTACTGAAGAGCCCAAAATGGAGGCTTAGAATAGTACAGTCTGGCGTAGCAGCTTGGAAGGCAAATGCTATCTAGCATTTTACAAACCCAGTAAACTAAAATCAAAACAGATTCATTGATTTCAACACAGCCGGAGTGACAAAACAAGCGAGGCATGTAAAACTGAGATACATTTACTCAATTTTTTTTAATGACGTAAACCAGTTCAAGTATTTTGGAAACATCTGTGTACAAAACGACATAAAACAAATTCTTATATATATATATATATTTATATATAAAAAAGCTGGACCAGCAAATCTGCTGGCAGCTAATCCTCTGGGCATGGAGACCCAGACACCAAGACTCCCGTCAGGGACGCCTCCCTCAGTCCATCCTGCTGAAAGCGAGCAGGTCTCACACCACTTCACACGTGGGGTCTGACAGCCTTGCCAATGCTCCGGCACTGGCAGTCAGGGGCAGATGTTCTCATTTCGGGTATAAATGTGGCAGTTTGGCTGTGGGCATTTTATCATCATTATTATTATTATTTCAGCTGAGTAATACTGGAGTAGATGGCATGTGTGCCTCCTTGACTGTAGCCCCAGATCTGACCAAAACATTTTTTAGGGTAAAACCCTCATGCTGTGGCAGGGGTGGGGGCCTGACAGGACAAAGCGCTAGCAGCGGGTTCAGAGGTCGCTACCTCCATGAGTTCTTTTGTAGATCCTGCAAGGGAGACGAACGTTACTCAGAGGTGGATAATTCAGGTCCAGAAAATAAAAGTCCAAACCAATACAAATCCAAAAAAATAAAAGTTCAATAAGTATCAAGATTTTATTTCAACCAAACAGTTGAGTATAAAGAGTCACGGAGTGCTCAAATGGTTGGTCGAAACAAAATCCTGGTCTGGACTTTTACTCCGGACCTGAACTACCCACCACTGTCAGTCATACCAGATTTGTGCACAGAGCTGAACGTTCTAAGGATACTGATAATCGATTATAGCAGACAAGTAGCCCAGTGTCTAATGGCCGATTATTGCATTTGTCAGGGAAATACTTTATGTGTGGCTTAAGCCTAAGATAAAGATTTGGCTTTCAGTTCAGCATTTTAGCCCATGTTTCCGATGCATTTAAAAAAAAAAAAAAACATTAGTATTTAATTCCTTGTATGGTACATGAAAGTATCAGTATGTAAACATTTGTTAGAATGGTCTGTGAATTGCTTTAAATAATTAAATCTGGTTCACAGACTGATCATTTCCCACAGAGACTATAAACGATCAACACCACTAATCAGCACACACCAGCGTTCAAATATCTCCAAGTTTATCATCTTGGCACATTTTTTTGCTGAAAAAATGTAACTTTATTTTTTAAAATTAAAATATTGCATTTTTTTAAGACATTGCCCAGCCTAATGTGTGCACATAAAACACCTCCCTTGTCCTAACAAAACGCTCAACCTACCAGGATCCATGCCGATGATGATGCAGTCCGTCTCATCCTCATCATCCTCAGTGTCTGCCTGGAATCCATCAGTCTCCATGGCTTCACCCTAATAGAATGTGCAGATCACCATATAGGTCAGGATAAGGAAAATAAATCCCATTACCAGAAAACACTAACTTCTATATTTAAGGGCAGTTTTCCACAATCAAAGATGAAATTTTAAAACAGTACAGTACTATAAACTGGCTTATTTCCAATAGTCTAAAAAAAACCCTTATCCACAGTAACACTAATTTCAGTTTAGTTTAAACTTCTGGATGATATTAATCTTGCGTGCCCCTATATATAGTTTATTATATGAACACAATACAGACAGAATAATGCAAGATGCAGTGCATATGAAGAAAACTTTTTACTTTGCTGTTCCACCAAAGAATTAATGTTAAAATGCAGATTTTTAAGGAGCAATTAAAACAAAGCCACCTGCCATTAAGTAACCTAGAAAATAAATAAGGGTTAATGCACAAGCTGTGCATTATAAATTTTTAAATGCATGGCTGTGGAGAAGAACCATCGTGGAGTGCGTTTAGAAAAGTATAATGCCAGACTGCTTATACAAAAGGTTTCCACACAGTTGACTTGCTGCCAAGTCTAAAGGCCAGTCTTTATGTACAGATGAGTAAGCAAAATATGGACTGTGGTATTCAGCTACGGTTTTAATTCAGTTTTATCTCCTAGTATCCAGTTGCATTACAGGTAAACAAGACACACAGCATCTTGTTTAGGCAGGTTAAACAGGAGTGTGAAGTATAACTAGGACTACAAACAGATTAAATAAAATTATTTACTGACGTAACTACTGACCACAGGATCTGGTCCTCAGCCTGAAGTACAGCTGTTATCCAAGTGATCTGTAGTGATTTCTTCGCCTTTAGTTTCCGTTTAGTTAAAATGAAAGATTATAACCGTGCCCTTTTTTTCTACTGTGATTTGCCTAGTCGCCACTATGAAGTGGTGATTCATTTCCTGTGACCCCATACAGACAGGAGAATGACAGTGCAGTGGTATAAAAGCAGTTAATGAAATTTACTAATACAGGATTCAAGTACCCCATAAAGAGGTCAATGTGGAAAATATTGTACAAATGTACATGCACATGCATGCCCTGCACACACACAGCTGAGGTAAATACAGCTGATAGCACATATACAGTGACACATTATACTCTGGTTCTGACAGATTTTCACTCTCTCACCACTGGAGCTCTTATTGTCTATCCCAAAGGGCTGAGCAACCTCACAGACATAAACCAGCAGCTACCAGAGAGCTAAGCCTTCCAGAAGATTATGCTCCATTACAAATAGTTTTCTGATATACCGCAGTTTATGCCAAGCTGGTCCCCGGGAACCCACAGACGGTCCACATTTTTGCATCCTCCCAGCTCCCTGCCAGACAGTCCACATTTTTGCTCCCAAACATCAGCAGGGAACCGGGTTGGGAAACACTGTGCTATAGTTTGAAATATAATTTTTGACCAAGATATTTTACAGTTGTGCATGAAAGGGGTAGGAATTTAACCATCCATAAATGGTTTAGATGAATTCTACTACTATCGCTACTTGAAAAGCATCAAGTTAATATAAAATTTCCTATTTATGATTTGTTTTATGCCCCAAACTTCTCAATCTCTCTCAAAGTAACTATGAGGAATTTTACCCTCAGTCAGGAATTCACTTTTTCCGCAATAGAAGTACAACATTTAGCACTGTATGCAAGCTACTTAAACTGTCACCTATAAAAGCGTTTCATGTAGGACAAGGTGTATGCAGAAATCATGATGTGGAATTTAAGACTAAGACCTTTTTAATATCACTTTAAAGCTGAATTTATTACCTAACTTTAAGCAGAAATACGCTTTACCAAAATCAATAACAATATTTACACTACAGTGAGTACACTTAGGGATGGGCCGTTCCACATTTTTTCAGTTCCAAACTTCCAATCCAATTCCAATACACAGCTGCTGATACCTATCTTAGACTACCTAAAATTAAATAAAGTATCAGAAATGGATTGGTCACATATACCCAATCCATCTAAATTGGTCTGGATCAGTGCAGATACTGATCAGAATATCAGATCAGTGCATCTCTAACTACACCCACTTTTCATTTCAAGTTTGAATTAAACAACAATCGTGAATAATAAATCACACTTTACAAAGTGACAATCAAGGCACAGGTGTCTAAAACTTCAATCACAACAGGGAACACTTCCAACACAGTTTGTTGCTGCATCCACAAATGTCGAATGAAAACCAACAATGCAAAGAAGAAACCATATCTAAACATGATCCAGAAACACCACTGACTTCAGCGGACAGTTCCAAAGAGAGTATCTGTAGTGAAATGAGGGTGCATTAGTGCCCATGGCTTGGGTAGCTCGCACATCTGGGAAGGCACTATTAATGCTGAATGACATATACAGGTTTTGGTGCAACATTGCTGCCATCCAAACAATGTCTTCCGGAGAAGGCCTGGTATATTTTAGAGAGACAATGCCAAACCGCATTCTGTGCGTATTACAACAGCATTGCTCCTTAGTAGAACAGTCTGAGTGCTAGACTGGCCTCCCTGCAGTCCAGACCCCTCACCCATTGAGAACATTTGGCACATCATGAAATGAAAAATGACAAAGGAGACCCGGAACTGTTGAGCAGTTAATCCTATATCAGACAAGAATGGGACAACATTTCACTTTCTAAACTCCATCAAATGGTCTCGTCAGCTGCCAAACGTTTACAGTGTTAAAAGAAGAGCTGACGCAACACAGTGGTCAACATGCCCCTGTCCAAAATTTTTTGAAACGTGTTGCAGGCATCAAATATAAATTGAGCATATATTTGTCATGAAACAATACAATCAGTTAACGTATGTTGTCTTAATTATATTTTCAATTAAATATGGGTTTATACGATTTTTAAGTCATTGCATTCTGTTTTTATATACATTTTACAGTGTCCCAACTTTTTTTTTTTTTTTTGCAATCGGGGTTGTACGTGGCCACACACACACACACACACACCCCCACCCACACCCACACAGGGCAGGAAGCCCCACACCTAGAATAGGTATGTATATCTTTGTATGAATTCTCCATTCCCATTCATTTCTGTGGAAAAAACCCTAATCTTATGACTATGACAACCTTAAAGTCAACCCAGCCCTAACCCATAACGATAAGTAACCGAACAAAATGCAAGACATTTGACATTTATAAAAATGAGGTTTATACTGCCAGTACCTGAAAAATGTCCCCACAAGGCAAAAATGAAGACGTTTCACCCCCCTCCCTCCCTCACACGCACTTTAGGACATAAACATCCAATTTCATTTAGAATTACCCAAAAGTGCAAAGAGCAGAATAAATGGAAATAATACAACTAAATGAGAATAGACATATCCAATAAAGTGTGGTTTAAGCAATGGGCTATGAGGGACACATCACTTGATTTTCAGATTATGTATTTACATTCATCTTTATTAATAATTGCACTGTGTCCATTACCCCGGTGACTGTAAGCGAGCAACTGTTATTGAACTTGAAATACACGTGTGAACATTCAAATACTCAGTAAATTTCACCTGTCATCTAGAAAACCAAGGGGTGTGCAAAGGGTTTCCATCAACTCAAAATACTGAACCAGTAATTCGTCAATGCAGAGATCACCACTTTAGATTAGATTAACAAGATTTAATACACAAAGTGAAAGGGCTTTAAACACAAAAAAGATCAATGTGCATCTCTGCCAGTGGCCAAAGGTCTGCAATTAAAAAATGATTGGCTTGCTTATTGAAAGATCTTAGCAGGAAAGGCTTGCAGGCTAAATTACGTCTAACAAGTGAACTATCTTTCGTAGTATGAAGGCAGTCACCAGGTTATGAACAAGGTTTATTCTAAAGTCTGTCTTTAAATTGAATATGTAGCCAAGTCAGAAACGGTACATACGGTTCTTATTTAGCGTCAGTTAAATGTTTGTCTTAGTATATATTTTCTCTCTATGCATATAAAAACACACATGAAAGTTTCAAATGCATTGTACCATCTTAAAAACAACAGTACATAATATAGTAAGAGCACTACATACAATACTGTATTGAAGAGAAAGCAAATTGAGTGTCGGTATACAATACTGTAAAAAAATGAAAGAAACAGTTCTTAAAACAGTTTCGATAAACAGAAAAAGAATGATTAAAGGTTAATGCTTACTCTCGTTGCATAGAAGTCTTGCATTAGTGAAGGGGCATTTCTGAGGTAACTTTACAAGACCATTAAAACTGAAGCCGTTTTCAGGAGTGCCACAAAGTAGCTTGTGTGTTCATTATTACGAACCATTGTATTTAACTCAAAGCTTTATGCCAGTTGTCCGCAAGTTGAATATTCTTATTGCACTGAAAAGTAATCCGGCTAAACAGACTCCTTAGTACACCCAATAAGAGTCAGTTACATGAAAACATAAAGGAAAGATTTTTCAGCAGACTTAATATGTTTATGACCTCAAAAGATTAATGCCTAGTAAACAAATTTAAGACTTGACTTTTGAAGGCTTGGTTCAACTCAAAATTAAGACTTTAATACCACAGAAACCCTGTAAAAACCAGATTCAGAATCACATAAATCCCCTAATTAACTCTGCATACGCCCACAGTAGAAAATACATACATCATCCATCTCATCTTTACTGTAGTGCTTTGCTAACTTCACTAAAAGAATGACAGACTTAAAAGCCCAGTGTGATCAAGAAATCGTAAAGCACAGCCACAGAAACATAGCTTGAATGAACTGCTTAAATTAGCAGAATTCAACCAAAAATAGACATTTATACATTTATTGACTGCTAAGTGTAAATGAGCTTTCCACTGGTCCCAGCTGACTGATTAAGTTTATAATTGCTTGTTTGCACCAGACAGCTGCACTATGCTGCTGATAGAAAGAGAAATTTGTGCATTAATCACTACTAGTCTCTTAGAACAGGCTATATTTTTTAACCTGCTTTGGTAACTCTCTCCATCCAGCTTACACCATTTTGTTTTAAACTTCAGTCCACTGGAATACTGCAGTGTGAGAGGCATTTCATTATTTTAAAGCTTCTTCACCTCAGCCTCCATACATCAGTAGCAGTACTGAGCCTGTCAATCATCAGATCGTCAATCATCAGATCGTCAATCATCAGATCGTCAATCATCAGATCGTCAATCATCACCTCCCCAGCAGGGGGTAGCAACCTGTGCCCCAGCTGGCATCTATAGATGGTCCTACCAAACCTACTTACTCCCCTAACTGCAAAACCCAACCCCCAGCAACCCCAATCTCAGCATCTCTGATCTTCACCACAGTGTGGAACGATCTATCCCCACTACCCAGCGAACACTAGCACAAGTTAAGCACAAGGGATTCATCTAGCCATACCGTCACCATGCTTGTACTTCCATGGGGCACTTGGAAATAAACTTACAATTCTTTCTACCTTAGATTACAGCATCTACTAGGGCTGGACGATATCATATCGATATTATATCGCGCATGCGCAATAATCACCAGGGCTTCAGATGACAGATGAAGCATTTGGCCGGACGCCAGCTTTTTGGTACTATACGGACATTTATTTACGCCCACAATTAGGTAAGAAGATTAGTAGTATGGCTTAAATATTAATGAGATGCATTTTGTGATACCCAAAAGTTAGTAATCTGTATAAACTTTATGTTTCTTAAATTAAATTAGCAGAGCACACCACATAATACTGTTTTGGTATACTACGGTTTGGTATACTACGATTTGGTACACCTCAGTGCAATATGCACTGAAGTCGCGGTGAAGAAGAGCAGCCACCACATCGTTTAAAAGAGGAGATCTTGTGGATAAACAAGGTAAAAAGACATCGGCGGTGTGGTGGTACTTTTTGCAGTTCAATGTCTGACACGTCTATTAAACATAAGGATATGCCGTATTTATACTAATAATGACATCTGGGTGGCATACAAAGCCTCATCAATATTTTAGCCATACTACTAAACTGCTTAAATTGTGGGCGTAAATAAATGCCCGTATAGCACCGAAAAGCTGGCGCTTGGCTCTAGCATCTACCCTCCTGGGCAAAATAAAATGGGCCAAAGCTTAATGTTGTGCAATTTGGTTATGACCCATTTTTTGCCCCACAGTGTATACGTTTTACAACGTCATTGTTTTAATGCACTACAACACAGAAACGCTAACTGTACATTCACAACATCGGTAAACTCTTAAGTCAATTTGGGGATATGGCATGAGGCACTCAGTCTTTGCCTACCTGCTCCGTATTGGCACACTTCTTCATGAACTTGGTGATAGACATGCTGCCTGCACTCTTTCTTTTGTTGGAAGGGGTGTTGGAGGCAGACTGAGGGGTGGTCGGAGAGGTGTTCGGGGCACCACTGACCCCTGGACCTTCTTCACGCGTACTGTGAGCCCCTGGGGTAACGTAGGTCCACTGGCAGGGAATGGGCAAGGCCTCCTGGTCAAAGCGTGCAAGCACCTCAGCATGCACGTACCAGCAGCAACGGCGGTAGTTGGCCCGCTTCTCATAAACGGCAGACTCCTTGATGAGCTTCTTCAGACGAATTCTTAAGGATAAGAGGGGGATGATTACACTAACCAGTCCCTATCAACTTTCAGATGTAGCCTACATGATAAAACCCTTCCACATACTGAAAGCTGACCGGGGTGCCACTGCATGCAACACTGGGGTACTCTACTGACCTAGCTGACTGGGCTGTTCATTACACAGATGTTTTTATGGTACATTACCACTGACCTTTTCGCAGGTGTATTACAAGTACAACTGTGTGAATACGTCAACATTCGGGTTCATTACAAACCTCAAAACAGCAAAAATTTATAAGTGAAATTACTATATGCATCACTAAATAGATAATTACATTAAAAGGCAAAAATACATTTACACTGGTAAAGGTCACTGTAAAATGTATGAGTTTGTCCAATGCAAAAAAAACTGTTGTTGTCCAAAACAGTTTGAAAACCCTAGAATTAAGATACTGAAAGTGAAACATAAAAACAGATTTTAAAGCACCGCAGAGATGGTACCTTTTTGGGACATTATCGCTTTGAGGACTGTTGGTTGGTGATGGAAGCTGCTGACGGCAGAACTCCTGGAACTCCGTGATGATCACCTTACTGCTGTTCACGTTGCCGTGCAGCAGGGGGAGGAGGGCACTGAGCACTGAAAATGAGCACAGCACACCTCTGCGTCAACCACGATGAGACGAGATGAGCTCGTTGGGAAAAACAGACGATTAGAGAACGAGGAGCCAAATGAAGATTCAAAGGAAGAGGGAACTTTGGAGAATGAATAACGTTGAGCAGCGGTGCACTCACTCTGCTTATCCAGAACTTCCCGCGAAGGCCCCTCCGGGGTGCTGGGCTCCTCTTTGGGCAGTGGCTCCAGCAGGCAGACGGCATAGGGCTGCAGCAGATCGGCCTCCAGCCCCTCACTCTCCCAAGTGCAGCCCGTCACCACCGCCTCTAGCACTTTGAACTTTTTCTTGGACATCAGCTCGTCCCACTCTCGAGCCTTCAGTTTCTGCCGCACTTTCTGCTTCTCTGGATCACCACCCTCCTGGAGAGGCAGAAACTGCTATGATTCTGAGACTGACTGACTGACTGCAATATTGTAAACTCACGCAAACTAAACCCTAATGACTATGATCTGTCAACACGAAATGCAGTGAACTGTGAATCTTGAATAAAATCAAATACCTCTTCTTCCAGTGCTCCCTCGCCATCTGACAGATAACCATGTGGTACGAAAAATCCATCGTCGTCGTCGTCATCTTCACCACCCTCCTCCTCCTCATCCTGTCGGAATACAAAGACCTCTTAGCAAGGCTACCCATTCAATGTGAAAGTATCATACTCCCCCATTCCACTACCTAACTTACAAAGTTGCCCGATAGCTGTACTGTTAACAGTACACAACATCTTTTCTTATCATCGGGAATCTTGAAATCATTGAGGTCTGCACACGCCATGACTGATCAGCCACAGGCGGTCACACGTTACAAGATCTTTCACCAAGAGGAATTCCTGTCAAGTATGTCTGGTCTCTAAAGCATGTTTTGTTATGGAAATACGCGAAAAGTGACACCATGTGGTACCACGTGAAAGACAGGATTTTTGGTGCAGCCATGCTTGTTTATGATGAACAACGCCTACCCCAGGTTTCCCCTAACCGAGTGCCTTATACTCTCATTGGCTGCGGCTTGTCACTGCACTCACTGCCAGTGGCAACTGGGTCACAACACTTTTCACATTACAGGATTTGGAATCAAGTCCAGATATTTAATCTGCTATATATCTGACGGGTGTCTGGGACACACTGGTGAGTCTGTCAGATTGCGTCTTTGAACACTTCACAAACAGCGTTCAAGGGTTGATTTGCCAATGTGGAGCGAACACGGATTTGTCTCCCATCTGGGGCTTTTGTTGGCAATCTGTCAGCGAGCAGAAAATCGGGGCTAAAATTGTGTAGTGCATACTTACCATTATACATTAATCTTTACTGATTGCTTTGCCTATTTTTTTTAAGCCCCCATATTACAGAGGTATCCAGGTCACTACACCATGGTTTCCATGTTATAGCAGCACATGGTATGCAGCACAGTTGCAATACTACAGTACCTCACAGAAAATCTAGGGGCACTTGCTTAATTTAGTAAAAATACCACAAATTTATTGGTTTTACAGTAAAAATCATTACTTTAATCTTTTGTTTACAAAACATATCACACTACAAACAACCATTAAGTTTAAAAGTAAAACATTTATTTCAAGTAATAGTAAACTATAGTTACAAAAGATGTTCAGAGTTAAATAGTTCATTGACAAGGAGTCCCTTTAGGTGCTTTTTAATTAGTAACACCTTTGCAATAAAAACCAAACATTTGTAATTAGTATCCCTTTGGGAGCCAATGACAATTGTAATTTATAGCAAAATGGGAACAGTATCGAAATATCGACACTATAAAGATAGTCTCTGCAGAAGATGTTACAACTTATGCTTGTAAATGGACCTTTGTTATGAAACAAATAAATTAGAAATATTTTTACAGAATTAAGTGTCCCAAAAAACTGAGCATTATGGTGGATAGAATATTATATACATAGAAAAATCAAATTAATGAAAGGGAACAGTTAAAATGTGTCAACCTAAGGCCTAGAACCTAGAGCCAACTCACCCCTTCACTGTGAGAGAGGGATTCCCCTGGCTCTTCCTCCTCCCATTCTTCATCACTGTCAACCTCATAGTCCAGCAGTTCCTAGGAATACAGGAAGAGCTCAGAACATTGGAAAGTCTCGACGCTAAAGGAAGAGAAATGATCGTGGCCTGGAGTCTCACTTTGTCCTGTCGAAATGGACAGCGAGGAGAGACGACCAAACTCTTTTTACTCCATGTACCCCAGTAGGCTGGCCGATAATTCTCATGGAACTGCAGGAGTTTCATGCGACCACAGTGCTGCCGATCTGGTACACCATCTGGCTTTGGGCCTTCTATCAAAACGACACTGTTCCAGGAAACAGCACAACACAAACAGACACTTTAACTGGGTGGACAACACACTTAGGACAAATTGATGAACCATCTGTTGCAGAAATCAGCGGAAGTAAATGGATAACTACTTTGACAAACACCTCGAAACAATATAAAATTTACGAAAAGGCCATCTGATTTCAGTTTCCCATTTCTCAGTAAGAGTACTGTAAACTCTTAGGCTCTTACAGGCTAAGATTCAGTTTTTAAGTTATGTATTTTACCATGAAAATAAAATTACTAAAAATAGACTCAGCAACACACACTGTAAACGTGCCCTGAATTATGTATTTAAATGAGCAGCTTGCCAGAATATACTAGTTGAGGCATCTTCTAAAGACACGGAAACAACATTGTTTCATGTATTTTTAATGAGAGTTATTACAATTTTAGGAAAGGAACTGAGGAAACAGTTAACGGAACCTGCAACTTCAAAAATGTTATTACAACAAAATTTGACAAAACATTCCCACAGAATGAAAATATGTACTAAATACATACTATTATAGACACATACATGAAGAGCTCTTTTACACTGACACCCAGCAGTGCAAACCACCCCGCATACTCTACCTTTACCTGAAAGGCTCAGAGTGCCACAGATTGGTTCGGCCCGATCTGCGGGGCTTGTGCCTCCGCAAATCCCTCAGGCCGTCCAGGGTGACATCTGGTTGAGCCAGGTACCGGTCCAATGAATCGAGAACCTCTTCCTCGCAGACCACGCGGTTCAGTGGCGCCAAACACATGTGCTCCTTGATCTCAAAGGGAGCGAATTTCCCACAGGCAGCTGCCAGTGTCTGCAAGGGAGATGGAGTGGGATGACAGGACAAACGGCACATTACACACATACGGGCCTAGACACAAGTGCAGCTAAGCCGACCTCTCAATGAGCACCCAGGTACAAGAGCACTACTCAACACTATCATTATAAACGGCAGAACAAACCAGTAAGTGATGCCCGCTTACTTGAAGGTTGTGACAGTACAATAACCCAAACAGCACGACGTAAAACAAAGCAATATCAGCCAGCATAACGTCTCAGCGCTGCCTGGACATCTCACTACTTTGTCAATTATCTGCCTCAGTCAATCTCAATTTTGTGGGTAGATCTTGAACAAAAAAAATAATCCTTTTTAATCAGTTGACTGTCCGGCTTTGCGCCGCATCTTCCACGCTTCTTACAGACACAGAATTCAAAACCTTACATTTATTATTTAATTATTTTTTTGGTACTTGTTATAAACTGAATCAAGATGTGCGTAGTTATTGACGAATATGATAAATGTTAATCTGTACCCAAAACTTTTGAAACTTTAATAGTAAAACCAATTAAAAGCACTTTCGATAATGATTCATTTTCTTTTTTCTTTTTTACATAACTTAAGTGTATTATAATGCTACCCGCACTGTTTCTTGTGAAGACTGGTTAAGTGGTTACATGATTAATTAACAGTACTACATACCAAAAAAAAGCACACAATTACATATTGTGGATCGTGATTATAACCAAAAGTATCGTGACTATCACCCACTTGCCCATTCGGTTTTCATCTGCAGTCATGCTCCCTGCCCCTCAAGAGTGTTGGTTGTGTGATAGGCGAGTTAAAATGCTTATGGGACGCATGTATGTTTTTTGGAGATTCCTTAGTGTGGGATGAAGACGATACATTCGCAGGGGGCATGGAGAACAAAAAGCTGTTTCTGGGATAGTTTTTCTACGGACATTTAGAATGACCAATTTCATTTGACATTTGCAGAGCCAATTTTATTTGAAAAGGTCATTTAAAATATTTTGCTTGCAGAAATTGAAGTTCATTAAAGTGTTACAAACATGGTTAGTCTGCTAATTATTAGACAAAAATAATAGAATCGGCACTGACAGATAAGGCTTAAATATAAAATCATACGACTGGTGTATACCTAATGTTTATAAGTACAGAAGACCAGGGACCATAAAAATCTTACCTTTGGGGCCTGCTGGGTTTTGGGCTTCTGTAGAAACCGGGTGATCTCTGCTTTCTCTGCTTTTATTCGCTGAGGGGAGAAAAAAAAAAAATATGTATAGCTTTTTAAATTGATGCAAGTTTCTTAATTTTTTTTATTAATAGTACATTATAAAGCTTTTGTATTGTTTTTGCTTTGATTGCTTTTATTTAATACTTTTTTCCTTTGATTACTCATTGTATTTTGATTTGTTTGTGGATTGACCACCAGTATACCAAAAAAGTTCCTTGTGTGGTCAACCTACTCCGCAACAAACAAAATTCTGACTGTGGTAGAATAATAAAAATGAAACTGAAAACTTTCACCTTGGTAACAATGTGAACTTTTTAAATTAAGCACCTCCCCCCCCCCATTTTAGTCAGTCGGAAATGTGATTTGTGATTTTAAGAATTCAAGAGCACACAAGGCACATGGACAAATATAACCAAACAAGGAAGTCTGTCTCACATCTTTCTCTTCTTTCAACCGTTTTTCCTCTTCTTTTTTCCTCTTTTCTTCAAGTTTTGCTCTTAGGAATTTGGGGGGGAAAAAAATCAACCAGAATTCCATTATTTACATTTCATACATCCAATATTACAATATTCAATTGCTTTTGGTCAGTTGAAATATTTCCTCCCACCAAGCAGAAAGCTGAAAATCACAGGCACTCACTCCTGCTTTACTTTGCGCTGCTCCTCCTTTGCCCGCTGCTTCTCAGCCTTTTCTCTCTCCTCCCTCTCTTTTTTCTCTCTCTTTTCCTTCTCATCTCTCTCCTTTTTCTCTTTTCTCTCTCTCTCACGCTCCTCCTTCAGCCTGCGTGCCTCCTCCCTCTTTTTCTCTTTGGCTGCCTGGGCCTCCTGTCGCAGCCGATTTCGCTCCATGCGCTGCTCCTGCTGTTGCCGGCGTTGCTCCTCTGAGCCCTAAATAAAGGGCATCGGCCAAAACTTTGCACATTTTGCCTGTTTACTAAACATGCAGAAAAGCAGTAAATCACCTGCTGTTAAACCACCAATAAAGAAGACATTTTGTACTTATGGGAGATTGGGAAGATATTGACCATTTAAAAACTATTTCATATATTTAAATCGTTACCTTTAAAGAACGTCTTTTTACTTTTTCCTCACTTGCGTTCGCATTGGTCTTTGGTCCCTGTGGAAATTTTTATTTTATTAAAGCCAAGACTTCACTTCATGACTCAAATTTGAAATTAACACCATACTTCCTGTACAAATTACTATTCTGCAAATAAGACCTACCAATAGGATCAAATCAGAAAACTAAGATAAAAACACTTGAACTACAATATCACGCTACAATTATAAGACTGCGGCAAAACATTGACTCACTGCTGAAGGCGGAGTGCATGTGGTTTTGGCAGTCTCTGGTGAACTCTCCACCACTGACGCTGAGCTGACGGATAATGGGGACTGTAAAGACTCATTTCCATGGCTGGACACCTCAGCCTCTCCATCCTCCTCAGGTTCAGAGACAAGTAGGTGCTCCTCCTGTGCAGAGCCTGACTGTGGATTAGACGCTACGTCTGCAATACTCTCCAAGCCGGGCTTGGTACTGGAGTCCTGAACAGGCTCAGGGTCTTTTTTCGGCTGATCTTCTTGCGTGGACGGTGCAGATGCAGGAGGGAGCAATGCAGCTGGCTGCAATGTGCCATCCACAGAGTTTGAGTCCTCAGTGAGGTCAATGGTTACAGCGCTGCCCAGCGAGCAGTTTCTGCGACTCATAAAAATGTCCAGGGGCCCCCGGCCATTCACCAGGGGTTTTTCACGAGGTAGCGGGAAGGGGGAACACTCCATCTCATTCTCTCCATCCGAAGCCTCAGTTTTAAGGTTAGGGGGGGCAACAGTGCTCCGTGACTTTTTAAGTTCTCCATTTTCCTTAGGGACTGGATTTAGACGTTTGAAAGGAAGGCGAGCTGTGGAGAAATCCCTAATACTTACTTTTTTACTTCTACAGCATAAAAAGTTAAAATACGAAAATGGAATACATAGACCAGCATTTACATAAATTAAAAATCGCACACAGGTACTGAACTTGGCTGCAGCTACACTAACTGCATACCTTTAAATTATGAGTGAGAAATTTAGACCTCTTTCATATAGATTAATTTTGAATATTGAGGCCAACGTATTTGACATTACCAGGCAAAATGACAGATTGGTGAAGAGAAGTAGCGCAGGTGTAATGAAAAGGAAACATACCCTGAACAAGCTTCTTGAGAGCAGTGTTGGACTTGTCCTTGCACTCCATACCTGCAAGAGACAGCGAAACCTAGTCTATGAACTTGAAAATCGAGTGAGCTTCTTAAGTGTTAACATGAGATCGGAGGCCATTTTGAAGAGTCTAATCTTACCAGCTTTCCTATTAATGTATTGCAATACGTAGACAAAGCCAACCTCTAAAACTAGTCATTGTTGTACGACAGCGGTCAACACCTGTTTGTTCACGCGATAACAAGAGCTGGCAGTCAGTTCGTTGTGGATGCCCTTAAATTTCGACAAATCCGCATTACCCACTTTTAAAATACCCGTTCTGAAAACATCTTTGACACAGGGTAAAAATGCCAGTACCGGGCACATGACGAGACGAACCGAGATGCAAACCGGACAGAGCAGCAACAAAAAAAAAGGAGAATTATTTGCTTTGCTCTCCCGCCAGAAGTACGTAGGTGAATGAAGGGCCAAGGCGCAGGCCCAGACTCCGCGCTCCCACGTCAGGGACACCGCAGCGCCGCAAAAGCCAAGAAAAGGCGTCCAGGAGCTGGGACATTGGGCGGCCATCCCTCGACTGTGAGATCGAAAAGCTGCCAATTTAACTCGGCTCCGTACGAAGCGGAAGTATGCTTGGAAATACTCTCAAGGGGGGGAAATGAAATAATTTCTGTCACCCGAGCGGACTGTTGCAATGCGCAAATTAATGAAGTAGCTAGTCAGATACATCCCCACCAAAACTCGATTCCCGCTCTCGAAAATCTTAAACATGACCTGGTGAATTTTACCCGAGTAAAAAAAAGAAAGCAAATAAACTCATTTCTGTTGGCTACCACTTAGAGACTTGAAAACAAAAGGGCGCATTATGCCAATCAATGAAAGAGAGGATGGCCAATAATTTACACCTTAATAACCCGTCGTGGCCCACTGGTTAGAAGAGAAGGCCATTTTAAGGACAAACAACTTACTGATTCACTAGTAGGAAGTCAACAACATGATGACAATCGAACGTTTTACAGATAGTTCAAGATAAAAATAAAACTACGATAGTTAACGAGTAGCTCAATAATTAAAACATAAGCCCAGAGAACATTATTTGTTCATCTGAAGTGTATTCTTAGGTCTTACCTCTGCTCCTCGGGATGGTCGGCAAAGGCCCTTCCGAGGACGGGTCTTCCGCTGCTAGCATCACTACCATCAAAAACTTCCTTTATACTAGGAGCAACTTTAGCGCAAAAATACCTGTTTGTAAATATTCCAGCAGTGCTATTTCATTTGTTTTCTCCTCTGAAACAATATCTTTTACAATAAAGTGTAACCGAACGACAGCAATATTATTACTTTTACTAAACAAATCTCTTTCGCCTGCTCCTAAGTGTTTCCCTTCAGATCCAGGCAAACCACCTCGCGCTCGTCAGTCTGAATTGGCGGGAGCTTTTCGGCAACGCCAAACCCTTCATCTGATTGGCGGACGCGCTAGAACGTCATCGCGTCCAAGAGCAAGTCAGACATTTTTCTTCTGGTTTCGGAGCTCCGGAGCCATGTGACCCCGCTGAAAGTTTCGTGCTGTTTACGACCCCCCCCCCCCTTATACAAAAGGAGGGTGTTTTGGTTTCTTGTTTCAACCGACCCTCTCATTAATGAATTCGAACTATAAAATATATGCTACATATAGTAATTTATATATTTCTGAAAAATCTGTATAAAAATAACAATGTTCAAGACTATGAATCACGTAGGGTTTCAAAACGAAAAATCAGCAGGGTTATGTATCAAGTTCTGTTTGACAAAAAAAAGACAACATGACTATAATCTAAAGGTAAAAGAACTATGAAAATGGCTTCCATGTGGCTCATCTGTGTATTCCGTGTCCCTCCTTACAATATGAACTGCAGGGTCTCAATTTTGTCATTTAGTTTGATATGCTTTTTTTTTTATCTAGCAAAATCAGTATGCAATGGTCGGCCAAATTGATGGATGTGCAAATCAGCGCGCAAACATCTGAACGCAGAAATTATTTAAAAGGTTTTGTTTAAATTCCATATCCAGGCTCTTTAATTTACCATATACAAACAATTCAGGCAATTCAGAGTCTATGGTGTTGGTAATACTTCCTAAGTTCTCCTAATGGTTTTCTGGCAGGTGACAAACCCAATTAATTCAAAATGCAGTTGATCAGCAGAAGACAGAATAAAGAACAAATCTTAAGGGGAGGAGAGAAAACAGGGAAGATGGGACAAGTGGAAAGGAGCAACCAAAGCCTACCAGCTCAAAAAGAGGGATGTCAGGTTTTACCTAGTTACCGCACAGTATTTTTTCTCATTAAATCATACTTGAAATGAAGTATTTTAAAAATTGTGTTACTCACAGAATCTATATAATTTATAGGACTCTATGCACCTTTCCAGCTTAACGGGTCTGCTTTGAAATCGTAAGAGTAACGACGAAATTTACTAAGCACGGACGAATGGAACGAAGTAAAAAGTAAATTCGTTTCGCCAAATAAGTAAAAGGAAGTTACTGATTTGTTATTTTCTACCACGATCAGTACAGTATTTTCTGCTTGCTGCTATGCGAATCTTGTAATCCTCGTTCATATTACGTTGTTTCATTACATGGTAGCCATTACCTGTTGCATTCGCATATGCAGGACAATCGCTGTCTAAAGTCACGCGTCTCGCAAACACGCGCCACTGTGCTTTACTGCGGGAGCTGTAGTTTAAATATTGTTGTATTTATTCTGATTTGGCTGAAACAGAGACCACTGAAGAACTACAGCCCCTACAATGCAGGTCGCCCACTTCCTGCTTTCTCACTGGGCTGGGCTGGCGCATCTCGACTGATCGAGAGTTAGCGGTTCTCAGGTATCAACAAAAATTAATGCTTTTAAAACCCGTCTGCATAACTCTTTGGCTCTTACGTAGCAGAATAGCAAAAAAATAGAGACGGTACTGTTTTTCGGTTCAAGTGTCCGTTTTTTCGAGCAATTTTTTGTGGGTAGAGTTTTGCGCGTACCTAGCTAGCTGGAATAGTTCAGATATTTAATATAATTAAGTTTATACTTTTGTGAAGTAGGTTGTATATATGAGATTTATTTTGTTTATACATAGGCCTGTAGACTTAATAAAGATAGAAAATGTAGCACTGCTAGTCCCGGTTAGATACTTGATGTAATACAGCTGACTATCGACTTTTTCATCTGTCTAAATTAACATTAAAATGGAAAAACACATTTCATTCGCGAATTTGGTTCAAATTGATAGTTTTGAATAATGCTGTAATGAATGCATGTATACAAATTACATGTAGACATTGCATCAATTCATATGCATGTGAACTGAAATTAATCTGTAAATTAGCTTATATGTAAGAAACTTTTCCGAAACACACTGATGACCGGTTTATTATGTGATATTTTGTGTCTAAAATCAATTACCCGTTTTAAAAGTGTAACCTTTGAAGCATATGAATAATTAATAATCTTATTCGAAGTAATTACAGTCGTGAAAAAGAAAATATACCCTTTCACTTGTGTGGTTTTACTTACCAGGACATTAAAAAAAACCTTACTAGGGTCAAATTATTTGAATGTGACCTCAGATGTAAGATCCAGCCACAGCGTTTCAATCGGATTGAGGTCTGAACTTTGACTGGGCCATTGCAACACCTTAATTATTTTATTTGTCAGCCATTCTGCTGTAGATTTGCTGGTGTTATTGTCCTGTTGCACGACCCAATTTCAGCCAAGCTTTAATTGTCGGATAAATAGCCTCACATTTGACTACAATACTTTGGTATGCAGAGTTCATAGTTGACTCAGTGACTGCAAGGTGCTCAGGTTCTGTGGCTGCAGAACAAGCCCAAATCATTACCCCTCCACCACCGTGCTTGACAGTTGGTAGATGGTGTTTGTGTGGATACACTAGCTGTATTTGGTTCTCGCCAAACGTGGCACTATGCATTATAGCTAAAAATCTCCACTTTAGTTTCATATCTCCAAAAAAAAAAAAAACATTGTTCCAGAAGTCTTGTGGTTTGTTCAGATGCAAACCTAAGCCATACTGCCATGTTAGAGGAGAGTCTTTCTCCTGACAACCCTTTCAAACAAGCCATACTTGTTCAATCTTTTTCTAGTTGTATTGTCATGAACTTTAACATGTAACATTATCCCTGCCCAAAGCCCTCAAGGCTACAGTGGTAAGGAGAACTCATTTTAGGCCTTGCATTTTTGGCTTTCTAAGTGGTAAGTCAGGATGGTGTGGAACTTATAACATTGTAATAAACGGCCTGTTTTGCTTTGAAATATGTGGCTATGTTGGTTTAGTGGTAGGAGAGTAAGATGAGAAAAAATATATGTATTAGAATATGTTACTATTGGTCTCAAAGCAAACAGGGCAAAGCCAAATATGCTTTTCCTGTATTGAGTAACATAGTATACAAATGGAAATGAACATGTTAAGTGACACAGAAATACATTGTTTCCTTATCATGTGCCGGTTTCCCATCTAGGGTGGTGTTGTGCCTTGTGCTTCCTGGGAGGGACCAACATTACCATAAATAACCTGGAATATACACTGACAATTTAGAATCTGACTGTATATGAAGAGACCTGATGCCATCATGTTTATGTTGCAGTACGAAGGTGCTTGGAAGGACACTGTAAACATTTTAAAATGACAGGTGAGTCTGAAATCATTGTATCGTTATGCATTTTTATATTGCTATTAAATGACTAGAGGCCATTTATCATAGGTGATGTCCTAGTGTTGTTATGGAAGATTACAGATCTTGCTGGATATTAATATTTCTGAAATTGAAGAATTGTGCCCAGATGACAGTTTTATGGTAGCAGTTAAAGGAAAGGAGGCATGGCACAGTGGCGCAGTTCGCATGTCCTCCCCGGGTCATAGTGCGGTTTCCTCCCCACGCTCCAAAAACATGCTAAAGGTGATTTGGATTTGCCAAATTGCCCATAGCTGTGAATGGTGTGTGAGCGAGTGGTGCGTGAGTGTGCACGGCGGTGGGTCGGAGCCCCATCCTGGGTTATTCCCTGCATTGTGTTCGTAGCATCCAGAATAGGAGTGACAGGTACAGAAGATAGATGGATGGATGGTTGGTTCAGAGCTTTGATTACATCATGGGGCATTGCATGCGATCATGTGATCTTTCATTTGACATGCTTTTGTTTGCTGTTCTACTTGACATAATGGGAATAATCTGGAAAAGCATTGTTTCTTTTTGTATCCACATGCATGAAACATAAAGGATGATTTTCTCAAAGCTCAGTACAGCAGGCCTTTTCCTGCTGTATTTGTCTTTCATATTCTTTTTCTTAAAAGCTTCATGACCAACTTTGCCCTCGCTAAATCCTTTTTTTGCATGCTCTGCATGCCTGCCTCTTCTCTCTGACAGATCGAGTGAACAATTTCCCCCCTTTGCCTCGCATTATACCCCTCAAACCCTGCTTCTACCAGAATATCGACGAGGAGATCCCCCCCCAGCACCGGCAGCTTGTCCGCAGGGTCTACAACCTCTGGATATGTGAGTGGTGTATCCCCTTAGTTAAGCCTTGTCCTACACAGTTAAAGGTAATTCATACTTCATACACCATTGTGGCACATGCGCAGTGCACGTGACCTAAACTTCATCATCAGGAATGTCTGTGCAGACTGTATGCATGCAGTTCAGATTTAGAGTCTAGTGGACTGGTGCACATCAACTGCGCATGTGCAGTTTATTTTGATTATTATTGTTTTGCACAACACCCAAAAGTAAATTCCTCATGTGCGACAATACTTGGCGATAGACAAACGATTATGATTCCGATTCTGCAAGGAATTTACAGTGCATGACTGAGTGCTTCCAGTAGGTGGCAGCACAGACTTTCACAGTGCAGGGGTCAATGTAGAAAGAGTAGAAGAAAAGTGATTGTAATTATGGACACTTTCAGTGAGCAGCTGTGTGAAGAGTTGCCGAGGTACCTGCATGGTCTGGTGAAATATTGCTGTACACGTGTTGACCGCAGCCATCAGCATACACGGACAAATGCAGTATGTATACAGAAGTACAGATAAATTTAGCATTTTTACACTAACAGCAGGTGGAAAAGTGAAGTATGAACTAGGAAAAAGACTTCAGGCTCAGTCACACCTGCTTCAGTTCAGTCTGAATTAGACCACTTCTGGTTAACCTTAATAAGATGTATTCCTTATTAATTAGACATAATACAACTTAGCTAGACTTAGTGCTGATAAGTTAGACCTACTTTAGCTACGTTTGCTCTCAAGCAAAACTAAACCTAAATCTGAATTGGATTGTTTTTACATCGCTAGCTAAATCAGGGTTCCCCAGTTCTGGTCCTGGATTGCTAGTCTGTAACACAGTTTGCAGATTTCCCTGTTCAAAAACACCTACAGAACCTGGTAATTAATTAATTAAGATGTGTTTCAGCAGGGAAATCTGTGTTGGTTTCTGGCCCTCCGGGACCGGAATTGGGTAACCCTGAGCTAATAGATTAGTTACCCGAAGACATCAGTCATATGCTTACACTTCATTCACATTCCACCAGATAAAACTAAACGTCAAAGAAATTATAATATAAAAAAAAGCAGAGAGGTGAGCAAGACTCAGAAGAATTTGCTGAATTAAGGTCAGTCTAAACGACATGTGGTGTTATGGAAATGTAGATCTTTCCTCTGATTTGTTGTGGAGATGATTACCCTTCCCCCGCTGTGTTATGGAGATGATAGCCCTTCCCCCTGCTGTGTTATGGAGATGATCGCCCTTCCCCCTGCTGTGTTATGGAGATGATAGCCCTTCCCCTGTTGTCCTGCAGTGTACTCGGCCACCCTGTGCGTGAACATTATATCCTGCATAGCCTGGTGGGCAGGCGGGGGTAGCGGCATCAACTTTGGCTTCTCGCTCCTCTGGCTACTGCTGTTCAGCCCCTGCAGCTACACTTGCTGGTTCAGGCCTCTGTACAAGGCGTTCCGGTGAGTCCCCGCTGGAACAACGGGTGGGTTCAGCACTCACAGGGTGACGGAAGTGATACTGAAAGGTGTGACATGGCTCTTTTTGCAGGGCGGACAGCTCATTCAACTTCATGATGTTCTTCTTCATTTTCTTCGCCCAGTGTGTTCTGGTCGTTATCCAGGCTGCTGGCATCTCTGGATGGGGAGCTTGGTGAGTGTGCAGGAGCCTTTCCACTTTCACGCCCCCTAGAGGTGCACTTGTGCATTCAGTGTTGTGGAGAAACGGCCCAACCAATGCCAGTGTTTGTCTCTCTGCACCCCGGCAGTGGCTGGATTGCTGCAGTGATGTTCTTCAGCCAAAACACGGGCTCTGCTGTGGTCATGCTATTCTCGGCTGTGCTCTTCACTCTGGTGGCTCTGCTGATGGTGTTGGTTCTCATCAGGGTGAGCCCAGGGTGGCTGCAACCGCACACTCAGACACAGGCGCTTGACCATGCACTGGCATGCTCTCACTCTGGGGGACACACTAACATTAGTGTCTGTGGCAACACTAGTGACAAAAAATCTTTTCATGAACCATTTGCTGTATTTCTTGACCCCACTAAATGGTGCTCTCTGTTCAGAAAAGGCCATTAAGCATGCCCCACAGTAAATCAAGAGCACCACCTAGTGGGGCTAGAAAATATAGCAAATGGTTCATTTTGTCCATCACTAGCTAACACCCTGCGTTTATCCATTGAGAGAGCTAAAGGCTTTTTTCCTATTTGTTGCCCCGCAGGTGCACCGCCTGTATCGTGGAGGTGGGGGCAGCATCCAGCGTGCACAGGAAGAGTGGAGCACTGGCGTCTGGAAGAGTGCTCCTGTCCGGGATGCTACCTTCAATGCGATTTCTGGCAGTGGGTCTACCCTGCCCGAGTACCCAGCCGCAGTGCCTAGTTACCCCGACCGCAATCCCTGGTGATTCCCAAGTTTCCACTAGGTGGTGAACGATAGGATTCCCTATACTCTGAAATTCTGAGGACCCAAAACATGGACACAAATACATAAATGAGCTTGTGAGGACAAGGGCTACTTAGGAAGAGAATGAATGGCACATTTGAATACTATTGCTTACAGTTGTTCAATATTGATCATTCCAAACACTTGACATTCTAAAAAAAATTCCATTTTGACTATGAAAAAGACAATTTCTGTTATTCAAAAATTTTCCTTTCAAATCCTGCCAAACTGGAGCCTTCTTGTTAGCTATAAATACAAGAATTGCATGGTAGGCTGGGAGTTTTACAGATTGTTTACTTCTATAATTATTGAAAATGTGACACGGTGCCTTCACCACACACACTTCATCTCCAGGCCTCCCCACATCAGCGTCATGTTCACACTAGCTGGTTGGCTTCAGGCACCTACGTGACATTTCAGATTAACTCTAAATTCTGTCTGGATTTTTCATTTCTGTCGTATTATTTTTTTTAAGTGCGATACTAGGCAGGAGACTACATTCCTTAGTACTTTTTTTGACTGAAATGTATTCTTTTATTAAAATAAAAGTAATGTAACTAACATTAGTGTGTACTCTTATGTTACTATTTAGAAGTTTTTGTAAGAAAATGTATTTGTGGCTGCAGTTCTGTATGTTCTTTAGATAGGGATAGTTATACTTTTGGTAAATCTTACTTTTCTGGAATTTGTGCCCCAAGACATGCTGCCTTTTTCTTCCATCTGAGTGCAACATGAACTCCCAGACTGAATAGGGTTCCACTTCAATTGCCGGGCAATTTAGAGACACTGGTTCACATCACCAGTTTCCAGGATGTGGGGGGAACCCAGAGACGGCCCGTGCACACATGGGGGGAATGTGCAAGGGTCTCACAGGGCTGGAGGGGGGCGACAGAGAAGGGCCATGCACACATGAGGGGAAAGTGCAAGGTTTTTGCATAGGGCTGGGGGGGGGGGAGACATTGAGAGATGGGCCATGCACACATGGGGGGAAATGTATAAGGGTCGGGCACAGGGCGGGGGGGAGAAATCGGAACTCGAAAAGGGTGAGAG